GGTAAAAGGTTGTGCAAAGTTTGGTTCAACTCGAACATTCCATTAGCATAAAAATAAGATTTATAAATATTGAAATTTTTTACCCCTCGTGGGGGAGTTAGCTGAAGGAGTGGACCAATGGGTCCTATCTTCGGACTTAATCTAGGCTAGGTAAAGATGAAAGGTTGTACAAAGTTTGGTTCAAATCGAACATTCCATTCGCATCAAAATTGGGTTTATATATATATTAAACATTTTGACTATTTGTGGGGGAGGTACCAGAAGGAGTTGACTAATGAGTCCCATCTCTTGCCCACTCCGAAGTGTACCTCTGTTGACTTTTTTTACCTGCGGTACATGATTTCATACTTCAGCACGATCAATTATCCGAATGTGTGCTAAAAGGTTATCTTCTATTGTTACGTTAATCAAATTATAAGTGCAGCATACTTTTAGGCGTATTTTTTGAATACTTTTTTTGTGTGAATATTTTGAGGCCTGTTGAATTGAATATTTGTTTTCACGGATTTTCAGTTTCAATCGAGAGGCATAAATCAGGGACAATTGCCTCAATTATTAGATGGGGCCAAATTGAAGACACTAACGCAATGAAAGTCAGCCAATACCCGGCCAGCCAAGTCACTTCAATGGACATATCGCTAAAATAAATAGTCAGGCTGAATCCCAGTTTGTTGTTTTTATAAAAAAAACAACTATTTATTAGTGGGGAATGTATGGCATTGTTTGCCGAGGGGTAAGGCAGGGAAGACTATAGTTTCGGATCACGCCACTGATCCTCATCAGTTCCCTTAGTTTTTTGTTGGGATATTCTCCCCGGAAGCTATTGCTTCTATACAAAAAACCTTTCATACCCAAATGTCTCTTGTAACAAAGCGAAGTACTTAGCTGACCAACGACATAAACTGCATGAGAATTTCGCTGGAGCCTCACTTCGAGGTTAACCAGGCATTTACAAACAATACCACACCTTTCCCACTGTTGTGTGTTGTCACATCGCGACAAATGCACACAACGACTTTGTTGGTGTTGCTAGTATACAGCAACAAACCAAACAGTTTAACCGTGCTTGCGTCTACAACTTCAGTAGTGTTGGCGGTTTATTTGGGATACCACTGCTAAAATAAATTTCTAAATATGAATATCAATATCAATGGCAGAGCACCCTATTTTGTAGCTGACAATCTTTTTAAAAAATACAACTCTAGGTTATCCTCCGGTTACACTACAAAACCTAATCGAGACAGCAGGTACTGTCAAAGCTTTTGATCTCTAGCCTATTGAAAGCGAATATAAAAGAGAATAATACAGAATGACATAGTTTTTTTGGGAACTGCTATGCAAACAGAATTAGACAACAGAAAAAGGCCTGGCTTAATTCGATCACGTGAGCATGGGTATGTAGCGTAGCCCAAGGAAGAAATCAATTGAAATTGGTAAAACGATTTTGATTAGCTTCTATATTTTCGTATTTGTTATATCGTGTTCTTGGGGAATATACTACTTCCTCACTGCAAAAAATTATCAGGATGGGTCCATATTTACGTGTAGCTCCCACATAACCCTAAAACAAAATTTGAGGTTAAAATCACACTTTCCATTCGATTTTCCTATATTTTGGTATTTTGGTTTATTAGAAGATTTTTTTCGTGCAGCTCCCTCATAACCCTTAATAAAAATTTGAGGTTAAATCACATTTTTCATTCGATTTTCCTATAATTTTGTAACATGGTTTATTAGGAGATATACAACCTCACTGCAAAAATTGATCAAGATGGGTCCATATTTACGTGTAGCTCTCATATAACCCTAAATCAAAATTTGAGGTTAAATCCACATTTTTCATAAGATTTTTCTATAAATTGGTATTTTAGTTTATTAGAAGATGTACCAGCTCCCTACAAAAAATTACCAAGATCGGTCCATATTTTCTTGTAGCTCCCATATAACCCTAAATCAAAATTTTAGGTTAAATCCACATTTTCTATCCGATTTTCCTATAATTTGGTATTTTGGATTCTTGGGAGACGTGTGAGCTTCCTACAAAAAATTATCAAGATCGGTCCATATTACCAAATTATAGGAAAATCGGATGTGAAATGTGGTTTTAACCTCAATTTTTGATTTAGGGTTATATGGGAGCTACAAAAAAATATGGACCTATCTTAAAATTTTTTGTAGGGAGCTCACATATCTCCTAATAAACCGAAATACCAAAGATTAACAAGATAGGTCCATATTTTCTTGTACCTCCCATAAAATCCATCAAAATTTGAGGTTAAAACCCCATTTTTTTAAATTAATTTTTCTATATTTTTGTATTTTGGGTTCTTAGGGGATGTATTGAATATTATCAACATATGTTTATATTACAATGCAATCCAATGATTATACTTTTAATTGTATACAGTTTACTATTACGAACCTAGTAATACAACAACTAAAAGAAAATCCAATTATTGATTACTCAACAACAACAACAACAACAAAAATGTATATTTATTTGTGCAATGAGCGACCAGCAGTAAGCATGTAACACAAAATATAATACTATTGTTGTAATTTTCCTTTTGTTATTTTTATTTAATCGTTTTGATTAGAAATCTCAGCCGACTCTTAGAAAAAATTACAACAAAGTACCGAACCCCAATTGTGATGTCTCATCAAAATAATATTAAAAAAAACATTGTTCTCAAAGCTAGAGTGGTGGGTGGCCGGCAGTGGGTCCGTCGGCGTTTAGCTGTAATGCTTTGTGTGTGTGTGTGTACGTGACAGTCACCGACCGACCTACCTATGGCTGATAGATGACAAAATTTTCTGTGTATAATGTAATATAATCTGGGTGTTTGCCCCTAACAAGGTTGGTTGTTGTTGTTGGTTACTACTTCAAAATATCGTCATCTATTATTGAGTGTGTGTGTGTACACTATTTGCTATATATATTGTATATTATATATATTTTACTGATATGAGCCTTTACAAATGTGTGGTGAACGTGAGCGTAAGTTTTTTACACTTTTACTTTTATTTGCTTCGCAATTACTCTCGTCGTTTTCCGACGGGGCCTGGTAAACAAAAAATGATGGCGCGTCTTTGTCTTTTCGTTTCGGCCTTCCTTCGTAAAATGTGTGTTAGTTTGGGGCTAGGGGGGACTACACAACTACCACGAAAGGTCAATTACGTTTATTCACATCACATCAACCAGCCCGCCAGCCAGTCATCAGCGTTTACTACTGCTGTGGTGAATACAATTCCAAATCGGAATTTAATATTATAGTTTTATGGCGATCGACTCGACCAACACGCGCACGCACCACAAAGCTAGCCTATTTTTTCCAATTTTTTTTATTATTTTGTTTGTGTGTTATCTTGTTTTGTTGGGTCTCTGGTAGATTATATAAAAAATTGTTTGCAAAAAATTCCAGTTTTTTTTATTATTAATTTGCAAAAATTTGTTTTGTTAGGTTAGCTTTCAAATTACAGTGGGTCCTCCTCCTGGGGTTCTAAAATAAAAAAATAATTTATTTAAAAATCTTAAATCCTTTTTTGTAAAACAATACTGAATTTCCTCTTACCCATTTTTTGAATTTTCTGTAATGTATCTGTCGTGCCACAAACTCCACTGTCATCTTCACTTCGGATTTTTGTCGGTGTTTTTATTAGCCTCACAAACTAACAACAGCGCAATCCATGCCAACTCACAGACCCAAACAAACAACCAATCAACCAGCATAGCAACAAAATATATTGCCAAAGTCCAAAAATAATTTTTATTTCTCTTCATCCTCCTGCCACTCATGCTCTCTCCCTCTCTTCCATGGAAGCGTCAAACATTTGTTTGCCAATTGGTTTGTATTTTTCCATTGAGCCGGTAAATGAAAAAAAAAGAATGGACGAACAAACATATTTTTGTCATTAGCCGGAAGATAGTAAATTTGTATTTATCTGAAAAGAAACGAAAAACAACAACAAGTTAATTTTCCTAGAAGACTCGGAAAAAAGAAATAATTACAATTTTAAGAAGAGAATTTGGAATGGGAATGGGTTCTTCTTCTAGACCAAAATTTGAGGTTAAAATCACATTTTTCATTCGATTTTCCTATAATTTGATATTTTTATTTATTATTAGATGTGTGAGCTCTCATAATTTCGTGTATCTCCCACATAACCCTAAACCAAAATTTGAGGTTAAAATCGTATTTTTCATTCGATTTTCCTGCAATTTGGTATTTTGGTTTATTAGAAAATGTATAACCTCCCTACCAAAAATTATCAAGATAGATCCATATTTTCGTGTAGCTCCCACATAACCCTAAACCAAAATTTGAGGTTAAAATCACATTTTTCATTCGATTTTCCTGTAATTTGGTATTTTGATTTGTTATACCACGTACAACCTCTCCACAAAATATTACTAGGATAGGTCCATATTTTCGTGTAGCTCTCATATAACCCTAAATCAAAATTTGAGGTTAAAACCACATTTTTCATTCGATTTTCCTGTAATTCGGTATTTTGGTTTCTTTGAAAATCTACAACCTCCCTACACAAAAATATCAAGATAGGTCCATATTTTGGTGTAGCCCCAATGTAACCCTAAACCAAAATTTAAGGTTAAAATCACATTTTTCATTCGATTTTCCTGTAATTTTGTATTTTGGTTTCTTAGGAGATCGAAAAGCTCCCTACAAAAAATTATCAAGATAGGTCCATAATTTCGTGTAGCTCCCACATAACCCTAAACCAAAATTTGAGGTTAAAATCACATTTTTCATACGATTTTTTTTTTTTTATAATTTTGTATTTTGGTTTCTTAGGAGATGTAAAAGCTCTCTACAAAAAATTATGAAGATAGGTCCATATTTTCAAGTTTTCCAAATTTTGAGGTTATAGTAAAAATTTTCGTCTGATTTTTTCCTATAATTTGCTATTTTTGGCTTCTTCAATATATAAACCTCTTCACAATTTTCTAATAATTTATTTTTTTATCATTTTTTTTTCAGGATGGTCGAAGTTTCATTATTCAAAATCAGGCCCAATTTGCCCGGGAACTTTTGCCACTTAATTACAAACACAACAACATGGCATCATTTATTAGGCAGCTGAATATGTGTAAGTGATATCAGAGTAATATGCATCTCGCGCAATTCATTAATATCTCCCAACTCTTCTTCTTAATTTCCACAGATGGTTTCCATAAAATCACCTCCATCGATAATGGCGGCCTTAAATTCGATCGTGATGAAATGGAATTTACCCATCCATGTTTCAAACGCAACTGTCCATATTTGTTGGAGCATATTAAACGTAAAATTGCCTCGACCAAATCCGTCGATGATAAATCGGCAATGAAACCCGAAGCCGTCAATAAAGTTCTGCAAGATGTCAAGGCAATGCGCGGCCGTCAAGATTCATTGGATTCGCGATTTTCGGTTATGAAACAGGAAAATGAGGCATTGTGGCGTGAAATTGCATCGCTGCGTCAGAAACATGCCAAACAGCAGCAAATTGTCAATAAGCTAATACAGTTTCTAATAACCATTGTCCAGCCGCAACGGAACATGACAGGTGTCAAACGTCACATGCAGCTGATGATCAACGATACACCTGATAAAATGAAATTGCGCAAGGCCAGTGAATCGGAATCGGATTGTGGTCCAGTCATACATGAACTGGGCGAAGAGCTATTGGATGAGGTGTCCGAAGTCGAGCCGGATCTTATGTAAGTTCGAAGACATGCATTAAAAAAATGTTTGCTGATTTCCTTTTCTCTCTCTCTCTCTCGCTATTTTTTTTTCCAGGACGGCCAATAGCCCATTTCGTCAAAATTCATCGACACCAACCACCACCGAGCCAGACAATGCCACGGCCTCGCCCCAGAACATTGAACGTCCCCATTCAAGTGTCAGCTTGCTATCATCCCAAAACTATGATTATTCCAATCAAAGTGATGAGGATGTGAATTTGGGTTACATCAGTCCCGCATTAAATTCGACCTCAACACAAAAGGTCAATTCCGGAGATGGTGCAAATATTTTCTATCACATCACCGAGGTACCCGATGCCCATCCCCAGGAACCCCCACAGCCACCAATCAATTACAATGATGACAATGTTTTGACCACACCCATGGTCAGGGAAGAAATGGCCCGAACCCAAATGCTGAAGCAGAAAAATCGTCAAAGACGTAACAACAAGGATGGCACCATGACGGATTCGACATTTTCCTCACCCAAGAGTTCGGGCAGCAGTAACAGCAGCGATGTCACAAAACCCAAACAACAACGTTTACTAACACAACAACAACAGCAGCAGCGACAGTTAACACAGGCCCAAGAATTGCCTCAACCCATACAAATAAAATCGGAAGATGAACCCATGGATCCCATGATATTTTTAAATGTTTATCCCGACAGCAACAGTGGCATGACTCCAGATCCAAATTTAATCTCACCCAATCTCAGTGAAGATTCACGCCAATCGACATCGACAAATGGTTTGGGCGGCGGAAAGTATATGCTACCGAGTCCATCAATAAATCAGGCTGCTGCTGCCGGAGGTAGTGGTGGATCAAATTCTACACGTGTCTCACCCACTGAACCAAACCTATTAACTGGCAGCAATAATGATTTATATAATCCATCTAATTTTATTACCAGTGATATGCCAGCTGAATTATTTGAGGTTAGTTTTTTCTGATTTTTGAAAAATTTGAGGTTATACAAAAAAAAAATCCACATTTTTCACTCGATTTTCCTATAATTTGGTATTTTGGTTTATTAGGAGGTGTAAAAGCTCCCCACAAAAAAACATGAAGATCGGACCCTATTTTCGTATAGCTCTCATATAATCCGAAAAACCAAAATTTGAGGTTAAATCCACATTTTTCATTCTATTTCCATATAATTTGGTATTTTGGTTTTTTTAGGAGATGTGTGAGCTCCCTACAAAAAAATTATCAAGATCGGTGCATTTTTCGTGTAGCTCCCATATAAGCCTAAATTGAAATTTGAGGTTAAATCCACATTTTTCATTCGATTTTCGTATAATTTGCTCCCAAAAAATATAAGCCTAAATTGAAATTTGAGGTTAAATCCACATTTTTCATTCGATTTTCCTAAAATTTGGTATTTTTGTTTATTTGAAAATGTAAAAGCTCCCTATCAAAAGATATTAAGATCGGTCAATTTTTTCGTGTAGCTCCCATATAACCCAAAATCAAAATTTGAGGTTAAATCCACATTTTTCATTCGATTTTGCTATAATTTGGTATTTTGCTTGTTTAGGAGATGTATAAGCTCTCTACAAAAAATTATCAAGATCGTTCCATTTTTCCGTGTAGCTCCCACATAACCCTAAAACAAAATTTGAGGTTAAATCCACATTTTTCATTCGATTTTCCTATAATTTGGCATTTTGCTTGTTTAGGAGATGCATAAGATCTCTATAAAAAATTATCAAGATCGGTCCATTTTTTCGTGGTTCTCCCATATAACCCTAAACCAAAATTTGATCTTCAATTCACATTTTTTTTTATTTATGAATATTCCAGGATAACACCATTATGTCGACTGGAGATAACAGCAATTTCGAAGATAATTTCAAATTGAGTCAACAACAACAATTCGGACGCTCCACCGTTAATAGCGGGAAATTCTCTTCATATATGGCTGGCAATGGTGGTGGCACAGTGGCTACAGCTGCTGGACCCTCGACATCAGCTGCCTCAGTTGGCTTATTGACACAAAATCCACAAAACGGCAACAATACCACCACGGATACCAAACCATCAACCTCAAAATTATCGTCGTCATCATCATCATCAAATGGCAATATGACCTTGACAAAATACAATAGCAAGCTGCCATCCAACGAGGACATTATGCGGTTGAGTACAGCGTTAGTAACTGAGAAATGGAAACAAAATTCTTAGTTGCACTCCCATGGAATATTGAAAATAACTAAACATTGTGTTGTGTGTGTTTTTTTGTTTCTTTTGTATAGCTCGGAAGTTAGCGGCCATTTGGAAATCATGCAAGACGAATTGGAATCGTTGAAGGATCTGTTGCGCAGCGATGTCTATTCATTGGATCACAATACATTGTTGGGCGTAAGTTCTTTGCCTATTATTAATGGTCAAGATGAAGCAAATCTAACTGCTGGCAGTAAACAAAACTTGAATATTGAGAAAATAAATCTAAACCAAGTCGTCCCTCCTAATGCATATCCAAATAATAATATTATTGATAATCATATTAACGTTAATCATAACTATAATGGAGAAGGTGACTGTAGCAGTCGCCTAAATGTGAATGGTGAAGATGAAGATATTGATCAAACTCGTTACAAAATACTACAATTTCTTAATGACTCCATATTTAATGATTTAGACTAGAAGAGAGACAGAGAGAGTCTCTAAAGAGAAGAGTGAGAAAAAGAGAAGAAAAAAAAATGAGATGAAATGCATCTTTAAGATTTTTATTTATTTTTTTTTTAATTAATCTTAACTCCTCTAATCCAGAAAAAAACAACAAAATTTGAAAATTTTATGTGGAATTATTGAGAAAATAATGTTGCTATGTTTTTTTACAAAATATGTTTGTAGTTAGTTTGTAAAATGCTTTTCTTCTTTATCCATTAAACACAGAAAAAATCAAAACAAAATATTTTCTCTATTACAAAAAAAAAGATTAACGGGGAAATTTTAGATATTTCTCCTCCTTTCCTTTAGAAGGGAAAAACAACATTAGAATGATTATTAATAACAAAAACAACAACAACAATATAATAATTTTATGCAAGTGGGAAAATATCAACAATTTGGAAAAAAAAACAATTTCATTTACAGCTACAGATAGTTTTAAGTTCAACAAGAAAAAAATATGGCTATCTCATTTTTTTAATTTAAATTTTATGATTTTTTAAATGTTTGGTTTCCTATGTATTAGAACGGAGGAGGGTTAAAAAAACAGCCATACAAATTCTTGGGAGAGGGTATATAAAGAAATCAGAGAACAAAAAATCTAACAAAACCACCTACGAGGTCACGATGAACATCTACGTATTTTACAAAAAAATACATTAATCTACCGTTTTTGAGTATATTTTCAGCCAGAGAGTGAGAGAGAGAAAAACAGACAAAAGTGTGAAAGATGCCACATATGGTTACCAATAACACAGAGAGAGAGAAAGAGCACAAGATCAAAAAAATAGCCAGATGACTTCGTAAATCTTCGTTAGCCAACCTACCTACCTTTTCAGCCAAAATAGTCTGACAAAGCTTCGAGCAGTCCTCTACGTTAAATAACACGTTAGAAATCATTTTCTTAAGAAAGCAAAATATTCTTTTCAATATTGTAATAACAAATGACAAAGCTTCAGATGACAACATAACCTCAAAAAAATGTACTATTTTTGGTTAGGTCATTAGTAAACATTTTTTTTTTTTGGCATTCATAGGTAATATTTCGATGTAACTTTTTCAACATTAGCATTTTTATATTTTGTTATAGTATTTTTTTATTAAATTTATTTACATAACCTAAAACAATAATTTTTCTACATAACCTAAAAAAATATTTTTCGTAACTTCAATTTTTCGATGTAACTTTTTTACAATTCTTCTATATTAGCATTTTTATATTTAGTTCGAGTATTTTTTTTCTTTAAATTTATTTACATAACCAAAAAAAATTATTTCTCTACATAACCTATAAAAATATTTTTCGAAATAATCTTATAATAATACCCGTAACTTCAACGATTAATTTGTAAAAATTATAATATTTATGGAAGTCGTGGATTCATCCACACTTTCTTTTGGTCTCCACATAACCTCAAATCAATATTTAAGGTTATGACCTTATTTTTCAAGCGAATTTCCTGTAATTCAGAATTTGAGATTCTTACATCAAATAATACCTCTATACAAAAAATTGTCGACATAGGTTCGGATTTTCATAAAGGTCGCACATAACCTCAAATCGTAGCCACATAACCCCAAACCAATATTTAAAGCTATGACCTCACTTTTCAATCGTTTTTTATTTTGTAATTCAGTATTTGAGATTCTTACATCATATAATACCTTCATACAAAAAAAAAAACGTCGGTCCCGGTTTTCATAAAGGTCGCACATAACCTCAAATCAAAATTTGTGGTCATACCCTATTTTCCAAACTGTTTGCAATCGATTCTTATAATTAAATATTTTGGATTCTTACATATTATACTACCTCCATGAAACTTTTTGTCGAGTTAGGTCCAAATTTTGGATGGATGGATGTTATAACCACATTTTACAAACGATTTGCCTATAATTGGATAACTTGGGTTTTTAGTTAATTTCTACTTCCATTATAGATTTTTTTTATCAAGACCATATTACGATATAGCCGCCATATAACAACAAACCAAAATTTGAGGTTATAAACACACCTCAAATAAAAATTAGAGGTTATAACCCTTATTTTTTAATCGATTTTTCAATAATTAAATATTTTGGATTCCTACATAATATACTACCTCCATGCAACATTTTGTCGAGTTAGGTCCACATTTTATTGTAGTCCCCCTAATAACCGCAAATCAAAATTTGAGGTTATAACCTCATTTTCAAGTGATTTCTTTTTATAATTCGTAATTTGGGATTCTTAGGCGGTGCGCAACCAGCCACCAAAAAGCTTTCGAGAAATCGGTCCAGATTTTCCCATAGCCCTCATATAACCTGAAACCAATTTTTGAGGTTATGAACTCAATTCCCAAGCGATTTTCTTCTAATTTTGAATGCTTACATCATATATTACTTCCATACAAAATTTTATTAAGCTCCCATATAACCTGAAAACAATTTTTGAAGTTCTGACCTAGAATTCTCAAGCGATTTTCTTCTAATTTAAAATCTGAAATGCTTAGATCATATACTACCTCCATATAAAATTTTATTAAGATCGGATCATATTTTTCCACAGCTCCCATATAACCTCAACCCAATTTTTGAGGTTATGACATCAATTCTCAAGCGATTTTTTTTTCTAATTTAAAATTTGTGATGCTAAGGTCCTATACTACCTCCATATAAAATTTTATAAAGGTTGGACTATATTTTCCCATAGCACCCATATAACCCGAAACCAATTTTTGAGGCCATGACCTCAATTCCGAATGGATTTTCTTCTAATTTAAAAATTTGGGATGTGATCTAAGCATCCTACTATTCCATAAAAAATTTAATAAAGGTGTGACTATATTTTCCACATAGCTCCCATATAACCTGAAACCAATTTTTGAGGATATAATCGCATTTTTTTTCTAATTGAATATAATGGATTCCTAGGTTGTATAAAATCTCCTAAGCAAAACGATATCGACATCAATCCATGTTTCACAATTGTTCCCATAAATAGCCTTTATATAAAATTTTTGAGGTTATGATTGTGAAATTAAAACATTTATTTATTTGAATTTTTCATTCAAATGTGGTGATCTTTTTGATCTATGTTTTAAAACTTTTATTTTTTGTAACAAACTTTTTAGGTTATTCAGAATTATTTTTGTATTTAAAAATATTTCATTAAAAGTCCATACTGAGGCAATATAGTTTAGAATATATTTTGAGGTTATCACCGAACAAATGTAGTTTACGTATGTATAATTTTAAATTCATAATTTTCAAAATTTAAACTTTTGTTAGGTTTGAGATTTTTTTTACAAAAAAAAAAAAAAAAAATATTTTCTGCAACTGTAAATGAAACCACACTAAGATATTAGGATTTTGCAATTTTCCAACATGGTTTTGGAAACAAAAATATTTTTTTTATATATTACAAATATCCCCCAAATTATCTCTTTGGGGTGTTGTGGAAAATCACAATATTATTCAGGTCATTGTTCTTTCAACATTATTTTTGTTTTCATTTCAAAAACGAAACTATATATGGATACTAGTGGAATCAAGTTTTTCTTCTTCTACTTCTAATTCCAAAATTGATACATAACATAACAAAAAATACCCCATATTTTTCATTCTATATAATCTACGTTTCAACCCACTTGTTTGTGTGTGTCTGTGTGTGTTTTGAAACAACTCTTCCCCCCACCAACGAAACAAACACTCGATGGATACAACAAAAATTTGCGATCAACATAACTACCTCTTATTGTTTTTTTCTTCTTCTTCTCTAAAACGTATTCAAAAAATTGTTTATAAAAAAACTATATATATTTAAATACTATATACATAATTGTTTGAAATTGTTTAACAAAAAAATTCGTATTTGCGTAATTCGTATCCTTAATTTATATTAATTATATACGTATATACATATATGATACAACAACACAACACAATCGCTCAAAAAAACATGCCTTAATTTCGAAAAAAAAAAAAACAAATCAAAATATACCCCCAAACTCCACCTCCTTCGCAAATGAAGTCTTTGAAAGGATGCGACACCAGCACTCCGGCAACGGCAACCATGACGGCCTCAAATGCAAATAAGAAGTTAAATATATTAGAGAACAATAATAACAATAATATATTTTTGCCGCCATCTATGGAAGCAGAAATTCTACAAAAGGTCAGCTCTAACGAAAAAACAATGAATTTAGTCTTGCGCGCAAGAGAGAGAACAAAAAAAATTTAAAATAAAATAAAAAGAAAAGAAAGAACGACGGTAACCAATTCAATTTTTTTAAACTGTGGACCGTTTTAAATATTCAAACAATCTGGGTAGTTCAAAACGATCACAAAAAAAACATTAAATTAATAAATATCTTCACTAAATAAAGAGAGCAATTGCCAAAGTTATTTAAAAAATCTCTCACTCTCCAAAACGGTAGTTTATCAAAAAACGGTATTTCTTCCAAATTCCCTTACGGAGTCTTTTATTTTTCTTCCCGGCATTCTCCCTTTTGTTTTTGTGTTTAGCTAATTAAAAAAACAACAACAACATCTCTAAATCATTGTTTTCTCGTATTCTCTTGTCTATAGAAAAAAATAAAATAGCAATTCATTTTTAATTAAACCACAAAATTACAATAACAATTAAAAAAATAAAATCAAAGAAAATTCCCCATTGGTAAAATTGTTTTAAAGAAATATCATTAACATTTATTTTTGTTTTTCTCTCCCCTCCCCCCTAACAGCTGTTTAATGATTCAGAAATATTGGGCACATATGGCCTACATTTACCCAAGGATGGCAATGATCGTAATGGTATGTTGTTGTCATTGACTTACATATTTGTTGTTTTACTTTTTGTACTAAAAACCACATGTTTTCTCTTCTCCTTCTTCTTCTTTTTTTGGCAGGTTCGGAATTAATGGCCTACCAACCAATGTATGATCTGTCAGATATTATCAATGAACAAAGTGATTTAGATGGTAAGTGTAATTGAAAATTGAATATTTTTCTATTTCAATTGTTATTTGTATAATATTATTATTTTGATATTATTTTTAACTTTTACCTTAACTTTTTTATTTTTGTTTTTATTTTCGCGTAGTTTATTGCACAACCTAACTATAACTTTTGTATTAGGGCTAAATATTCTAAGAGCAGAACTCATTCTAATCAAAAAAGAGGCTTTTAATAAAAAGAAATGGAAGAGCATCAACTTACTTTGACTGACGTTTGATTGTCCGTTCATTTGTCTGTCTGTCTGTACACGTAAACAAAATACAGTTCCTCCCCACTTAAGTTTTTTTTCGTCTCTCTTGCGAACCCTATCTGTTGTATTTTTCGGGCAATCTCTATATAGAATCGAGGACTTGACACCATCATCTGTCCATATTAAATAAAACCCACAAATTGTTAGGAACTTAAATCTTAATATTGAAATATAAATAATATAGTGATTAAAATATATTTTTCCAAAATAATTAACAAAATATTTTTTTCCAAAAAAAACTAAATTATAATTGTTTTTAAATTTGTTTAATTATAAAAATATTTTTTTAAAATGAAATATATATTTTTTTAAATATAAAAAAATTGAGTAGCTTTTCTTAAAAAAAAAACATATAAAAATTAAAAAAAAATATTTTTCCTAACAAATTTATAAAATAAAAATAATTGTTTTAAAAACATTTTTGATTTAAAAATGTTAAATTTTTTTTAATTAAAAAATATTTTTAATTATAAAGAAATTTTTTATAATGAAATATATATTTTTTTAATTATAAAAAAAAAATATATATTGCTTTTTATAAAAATATATGGCTTGATATATAAAAATTAAAAATATCTATTTTCATGAAAAAAAAAAATAATTTCCTTAAAAAACTAATTTCTTAAAAATGTATAAAAATAAGTGTTTCTTATAAAAATACTTTTTTAACAAATTTTTTTATTTATTTTTTAAATTTTTTGTTAAAAAAAATTAAATAATATTTTTCTTAAAAAATGTTATTCAAAAATCTTTCTTAAAAACACAAATCCTTTTCATAAAGAATATAACAATTTTTTGTTTAAAAAAATGTAAAGCATAAAGAGTATAATTGTTTTCGAAAAAATGTCTTTAAAAAAATAGTTTTTAAGATGAAATATTAAAATTTGCTTTCTTAAAAATGGTTTTTTTAAAATGTTTAAAAAAAAATATAATTTTTAAATATAACAAAAAAAATCTTCTCTTAAAAAATGAACATTTCTTATAAAAAATTTTGTTAAAAAAAAATTTTTTGATTTAAAAATTTTTAAAAATTAAACAAAAAAAAAAAATACTTTTCAGAAAAAAATATAAAATATCTTAAAAAAAAATAAAAAAAAAATTGTTTTAAAAAGTTTTAAAAAATTTTTTTGGAAAAAATTTATAAAAAAATAAAAATTTAAAAAATATAAAAATTATTTTTTTAAAAAAAAAAATTTAAAATATTTTTTTTTCTTAAACAAAAAAAAATAATTTGTTCTTAAAAAATTATAAAAAAATAAAAAATAAAATATTTTTTTTTAAAAAATAAAAAAAATTGTTTTAAAAAGTAAAAATTTTCAAAAAAAATTTTGTTTGGAAAAAATATAAAAATATATATTTGGTTTTAAAAAAAATATATTTTCTTAAAAAAAATTTTAAAAATATTTTTTTTTTAAAAAAACACATAAAAAAAATTATAAAAATATATTTGTTCTTAAAAAATTATAAAAATAATAAAAAATTTAAAAATATTTTTTTTCTTAAAAAATTATAAAAATAATTTTTTCTTAAAAAAAAAAAATAATAAAATAAAAATATTTTTTTTAAAAAACAAAAAATAATTTTTTTTCTTAAAAAAAATTATAAACAAAAAATAATTTTTTTTTCTTAAAAAAATTATAAAAAATATTTTTTCTTAAAAAATTGTTGGGTTTTAAAAATTATGAATATATATTTTTTATCTTAAAACAATTATAAAAACAATTATTTCTTAAAAAAAAATTATAAAAATAATTATTTCTTAAAAAAAAATACATAAAAATAATTATTTCTTAATAAAAATATCTTTTCCTAAAAAAAATTGATAATGCTGTTATGTGTGGATCTTGAGATGACAAACTCAAATAAAAAAACAAAGTTTGTCTTCTATCTCCATCCTCAATAAGTTGATTTAGAACCGGATTTACAGGCAAAAATTTCGTTCATAACTGCATAATGATTTACTAAAGGTCTTGGGGCCACACAAAGCTATCATACCCCTACAACATAGTTGTGTGGGGTATAAAAATTAGCAATTTTAAAATATTCTGTTTTTAATTTAATTTTTTTAGTACATGTATGCGTTACGAGTGTAACATGTGCGTGACGGTATTCAAAGTTAAAAAAGTATATGTCAGAAAAAAATATATATATATATATATATATATATATAGCTGTCAATAAAGCCGCAATTTTATCTACAGCCAATTCGCAGAAATATCCTATCGAAACTGATATCCAATTTTTAAAGGGAAAATTTGTAGCGCGTGCGTACGCTAAATTTTGCTTAATATCTCCGAAATTTATAAACATATTCATAAAAAAATTAGCAGGTATTGTAAAACGCGTAACACTATTTAATAAAAATTTCGGAAACAAATTATTCTTGACTAAACAAACGATTATATTTCGCACGTTGTAACAGTGCGTGACATGGAATTCGTGATATATTTTACATCTATATATGACAAGGCATATTTTGAAGATTTAAATTTCTGTTATTTGACAATTTAGTGCAATTCATTTATCCAATGCTCATGGCCATTAAAAAATTATAATTTTTCCTATATTTATTGATACACTTCTATATCTCTCTCTCTCTAATAATAATTATTTTCTCATCCAATTCTATCCTCGTTTAGTATGAGTTACTGCTGCTCTCAATGGATATGCAGCTCTATTACTATTAAGTTTAATTATATTTAGAAAAAAAAACAAAACTCCTACATTGTTGTCATAATAAGAAAATGTGTATATACAAATAACCTACATTATGTAAATAGATATAAATACCTCCCAAAACAACACCCCCTTTCATTTACCCCAAAATTTGTTTCAAAAAAAATGTTTGTAATATAATTTTTTATTCTTCTCTCTCATCTCCTGTTGTTCGTTGTACGATTCTAATGCTCGACCTACCGACCGACCGCTCACCCACTCGCTCACACACACCTTTCACTTTTCTCGCCCCACCCCCCTTACATTAGAGTAAATACAAAATTGAAAAACACCCATTATTTTCTTTCTCAGCCGGTAACTATTCAATGATGAGGCCGCAAATAACCCAAGAACCAGATAGTTCAACAAAACAGAACGATGCTGCTCAGCCACCTAGTTCAGTTTTGAATACGCCGAATCATGAATGAAAAAAAGAATAATGAAAAATGAAATGAAAAAAACAACTATGAAGAAAAAGAAGAATAGAAACTAAACACATCTATAATTCTTTGGTTGAGAATTGTCATCTAAAAGGCGGGACGCGGATGATTGGTGATCATCAGGGACGTTTCCCTCCCACATATATGTATATTATTCATAAGACATATTATATAAAAAAAAATAATAATATATTACAAACATAAAAATTAAACATAACTAATTATGTGGATATTTAAAAAAAACAGATTTTAAAAAAAAAAAAATATTTAATATTAATACAAAAAAAAAAAAAAAAAAAAAATAATAATAATGACAACATGTGGAAACAGGCATATATTTTTTAAATAATACAGAAAAAAGTTTTTACAATCCATATATATATATATATATATATATATATATATATAAATATTAATTTTTGTTTTTTTAATGTATAAAAGTAAAAGTAGAATGTTTAATATATATATAACATTGTTTTAAGTTTATAAATAACAATACAACACATTAATTTTTAAATACAAGAAATTTAAATGTCATTATTTTTTGAATCACAATATTTTCACCCGCCCCCAATTGAATTGATTAATTGAGAATATCATTTTTTGTTTTTTTGTTTTTTCTTTTAACAAAGAACACTGTGCAAGAAGGTTTTTTTGAGCTATGAATTTTTTTATTAAAAAAATATTGGAATTTGAGTTCGTATTTTGTTTTCAATACCGTATAAAAAGAAATCCCTTAATAGATTTTAAATAAAAAATGTTTTTAAAAGTCTACGATACATATGACTGTAAAAATTTAAAAAATATTTTTTAAAAATATCTAAAATTATATAAACTTAAAAAAATATATATTTTGGATTTAATTTTAGTATAATGCTGAATTTGATTTTTTTTTGGAATTCCTATTTCCCAATACTTAAAATTTGCTCTAAAAAAAAAAAAAAAAACAAAAAACGAACTAAAGTTTCCAAATAAATATTGAATATTGAAATTTTTATATTAAAATTCCATTCGAGAAATTGGTTTTCTTGCTGCACAGTAATCCCTTGCTTCTTTTTTGTCTTCTTTTTACAAAAAGTTAATCTTTTTCTCTCAATTTATATTTTAAAGCTAATATCCAAATCCCCTTTCTCTTATAGTTAATGTTTAGAAATGGGTTATGGATTTGATTTTTTTATATATATTAATAAAGATGTAGTTCTTTTTAAAACTTTTTTTGCAAAGAGTTAACAAAGTATAAGAGTATAATTTTACAGTTTTAAAACTAAACAAAATCAACTTTTAATATGAAATAAAATAAAAACGATTACTAATTTATTTTTTTTAATTTCAAAAAAATAAATAGATTTTTTATTTAAAATTAACGCAAAAGAAAGAAAGAATTGTTTTGGGTTTCTTTTTTGGTCCATATAATTTAAAGTTGTTTTCTATTTCCTTAATAATATTTAACAAGCAAACAAATTTGTCTCCTCCAGTTATGCCTTTTTTTATTGTGAAATAAAAACACAAATTGTTGTGAACAAAAAATATCACATTTACATACATAAATACAAATATATAAGTATATTTTCTATTTATATAAATATTTTTATTTTTAATTTTTCTTATGCCTACATTGTATATTGTTTTAGTTCGTATATATTCTATATATACATTGACTTTATTTTTAATAATAAATATTATCATATAAAACGAGTATTTTTATTTTGGACAAGACCAGTTAGGAAAAGTATGTTGTTATATATAACATTTTATAAAGTATAAATTTTGTATTTTAAAATCTATTACGAAAAACAATTTTGGACACCTAATCTCAAATTTGTGTATATAACATACACCATTTCTTATGAGTATTTCTCGTATTGTGTATTTCTAATATACAAAATGAGGGAAGATGAGAGACCTATTGTTACTTGCATGCCTAAATCAAAATTTCAAATATTCTAAAGATGGTAGAGGGATATATCAATTTCATAAAAAAATAATTTTAAGAAAAATACCAAAAATCAACTGTTTTAGTATTTTAATTTAACTTCTTGCCAAAATTATTTATATATTTACATTGGTTGAAAATTTAATTTCATTGTGGATTCCTACCATTGCTGTTTCTAATAAACATTAATTACCATAAACATTTTGGCAATTGGCAAATGTTAATTAAAATTTATTGTTTTTTGAAGAGCACTTTTACATTTCGAAAATTTTCATGTAATATTTTTTCAATCAACATTTACAAAAATGTGGTTATAATGGATTTGAAGTAATCTACTTCTATTTTGTACAAAAATTCAAAATTGTTGTCTATCAGTCAATTTGAATTGAGTAGTCCACGTTTGCCTCTAAATCTCCACGTATTAATTTTTCTTTCTCCCCATGATGTTAGTCACTGTCGTCTAGCCAAATCGCAAAGACTCTAAACCAAAAACCCGCACACTTTTTTTGGGCCAGTCATTATGGTTATGCCCTTATAGCCCTAATGCTAGTTGTTAGGTTATGTACACATCATAATTCATAATCTAAGACACCTCGTCAATAAATCAGTAACACTGTAGAAACTTTATAAAAATATAGAAAAAATTCCATTACCCAAAATCCCATTTTTATATCTATATAAAAATTGCATACACTTACACAGGTATATTTCCATATAGCCATTATCTGGAACTTAAGCCTAGTGGACACTTTAGAATATATAATGTATTCCAGGGTATATTTTTTCACATTGAAATTTGAAGATTACTAACAATGGCCACCACTTTGGAAATGAATTGGTTTCCAATAGATCATTCACTAGCACAAGCCATATTTCGATCTAGAGAAACCTATTTGTTAGCCTTCCCTTCGTTCACTGAAATTGTCATGGAAAGTTTTCTATTCAGAAAATTGAATTTATTTAGATTTTTCTTTGTTGTTGTTGAGCGACTTGGACAAAATTTTTTGATTAACAAATTTTCGTGGAAAAAACTAGAAAGAAACACTCAGAAAACGAGAGAGAGCAAGGTTACACAAGATCGAAAAATGCATGCCAGTTTATTTGCGATTTAAAATCATTTTTATTAAGAAATAAAGGATATAATGTGCCTTGGACCCATATTTTAAAGTCCATACCTATTCTACCGATTTGTTTCATAACCGAATATACATAAATATTAAACTACCAGCCAAAATTCAAACTAGTGAAACCTATATGTTGCCCTAAAGAGAGAGGGAGCCAGGTTACACAAGATCAAAAAAGCATGTCAGTTTCTTTACAATTTAAAATAAATAAAGGCTATAAACTGTCATGGACCTATATATTAATGTCCATCGGCCGCTATTCCTGTTCGACCGATTTGTTTTAGAACCGAATATTCATAAATATTAAACTACCACCCAAAATTCAAACTATTTAAACCTATATGTCGCTCTAGGTTTGTTCCAAGGACTATTATTTACTTCATCCATGAAGACCAGCTATCGCATACATGTTGTAAACAAAGTACAATTTTTTGACATTCGACTTGAGAGAAAACAGTTGACTTCGCTAGCTGGGTAACCTTGTTAATAGATCTTGAATTAGAGAGAGGGAGAAAGGTTACAAAAGTTCGAAAAATGCATGCCAGTTTACAAATAAAATTCAAAAAATAAAAAAATAAATAAATATAAATTGCCATGTACCAATATATTAATGTGCATGGGTATATATTCCTGTTCTACCGATTTGATTTTTTACCGAATATTCATATATATTAAAGTAGGTTTGTTGCATGGCCTATTAATAAGGTTATCAGCTGCTTCTCAAGTTTGCTTTCAAAATCCATTATTGTGAATTGACTTACATTACTTGAGAAAAACAGCTGATTTTCGCATACTGAGTGACATTATTAACAGATCTTGCATGTAATACCCTTAAGTGTTTCTTCCCCCACCCCAGTAAAAGCGATTAGGTGTCCAATGCGATATAATTGTTATTAAGGAGTATATACAATATGTATTGAGTTAATTATGAAAGGTCAATATATTTTCTAAACTCTCATAATAGAACACGTATCACTTGACATATACATATATGAAAAAATAATGACAAATAACTGTCATTCTGTAATTTATTGGGCAAAGTGTGCGCTAAATGCTTGTTTATATTTACGAAATCCATATGATCTCAAATGTCAATTCCAAGATCTATTAATAAAATCATCCAGGTAGCAATCGAAATCGGAAAACAGCTGCTTTTTTCTCAAGTCTAATGTCAAAATTTTTGACTTTTTTTACATTTTCACAATGGAAGTCAATTCACAATAATGAATTTTGACAGCAAACTTGAAAAGCAGCTGATATCCAGGATGATCTTATGTATAAGCCCTAGTCAATTCCATAGCGTATACGTCAATTATAATCTACTGGATTTGTGAACAGGATTAACGTGACATATACGCTATGGAATTGACGTTTGAGATCGAGTGGATTTAGTCTAAACGTGGTCTATATAATAACTGAAATGCTTCGATATAGAATATGGCTTTTGAATGACTGTTATGCTAAAAATTTACTTGTCTGACAGTGAGGTTTGACTGTCATCAGACATTCAATATAAAATGAAATGTGATAGTCTGTACAGCCTTTAACGATATTTACCATTTACATTGACACCGAAAGTGTTTTATGGAATTAGTAATTTATTCATAAAACATGTTGGGTGATATCATAAAGGAAAAAAGTGTTATCGTAGTAAAAAATAGTAGATTCTTGCAGTACGGGAACAGACCAATAATGTAAACTCTCGTTAAATCAATATCCATTAATAAGGCCACCCTTATTATCAGCTATTTTTTTATCAAGTTTAATGACAAAAATTTTAATTTTGTTTACTTTTTTATTGGTAATGGAAGGCAAATCACAATAATGGATTTTGACAACAAACCTGAGAAGCAGCTGATATCCAGCTGGTCTCCCTGGATGACCTTACTAATAGTCCTTGTGCTAAATGAAATAAAAACATTAATTAATTTCAACAAGAATTTATAAAAAATATTGGTGAAATAAATATTTTACCGATATGTGTTATATGTTGACCTTTCAGCTAATTTTTTTAATAACAAATATCTACTTACATAATATATACTTACTAGTTTAGGGAATGGGAAAACATAGTACAAAGTACAGTGTTACTCGAATCTCTTTTTATTATTGGTTTTATTTTTAATATTAAAAAAATTACTTCATGACATTTGATGAACAAATTTAAATAAAAATAATCTTTATTTAATTAAAATTCTAATACGATCTACAATATTCGCATAGCTCAATATTTTATTAAAATGTGAAATGAAAACTTTAATATGTCTCCAAATTGTTTATTATTATTCGATGTTTGAAAAAATAACACAAATTCTTTTTATTGTTATTTTTCGTATATAATTATATGAAGAAGTATTGTGTATTCCCTGTTTCACAAAAGACAAAAAACCCATTCGAACGAAATCAAAAAAAAAAAAAAAAACATTAAAACTAACTAAAGACCAAATTCGATTGTAGTAATATTGCCTTAAAAATTTTTGCCACATTCTTTTTTTTTATTTTCTATAAGATTTAATATTGTATTCCTTAAAAAATTCCCAAAGATATATTTCGAAATTGTTAATTTTAAAAATGAAAGAATAGATTTATTTTTTATAAATATTTCTTTTTGTTATATATTTATATATGTATATTGGTTGGAACCAATGAAAATTTAAATCCCCCAAAACACACACACAAAAGACTGTCAAATATGAGAATATTTTTTATTTGTGTTTTTTTTTCTTATTATTATTATTATTAAAAATTATATATTTATTAACATGTATATTAAAAAAAAATTAAAAAAAAAAAATTATACTTTTGTAAAACCTTTCAAAATTTCTTATTTGATATAGATGTGAAATAAAAAAAAATAAATGTATGTACAATTATTCAAATTTTTTTCACACATAACCTTAAAAAAGTATTTTTGTTTACAAAAAAATTGAAAAGAGTATGAACCTATTGACATATCTAAATTGTTTGGCAAATTTGACAGATAAATATCAAATAAAATTACACTTTTATGTTTAAAGTACGTTTAGATTAACGAAATCAACTTTATTTCAAATGTGAATGCTATTAATAAGGTCAGACTGCATGCGAAAATGTTTCTCCCGTCTAATGTCAAAAATTTGACTTTATTTACGTTTTTATGATGAAAGTCAAATCGCAATAACGGATTTTGACAGTGAACTTGAGAGACATATCCAGCTGGTCTCCCTGGATGACCTTATTAATAGGCCTAGATGAACTCAATAGCGTCAAGATCAAGGTTACCCAGCTAGCGAAAGTCAGCTGTTTTTTCTCACGTGGAATGTCAAAAATTTGGCCTTTGTTTACGTTTTCATAATTCACAATAACAGATTTTGGCAGGTAACTGGAGAGGCAGCTGATATGACCTTATTAATAGGCCTTTTGTGAACTCAATAGCGTATATGTCAAATAAAAACGATTCGTTGGAATTGACATTTGAAATCTCGTGTTCTTTTTTTGGTAGTCTAAACGTACAATTAGTTATTTATTGTTGTGATTCCCTTTTAAATATCTGTCAAGTATATACTTAAGCACCGTGCACTATAAATAAAAAATACGAATATTAATATGTTGCAGTTTTGGAACACAACTATGTATAATCAGATATATAATAATCAAGATCTATTAAAACGGTCACCTAGGTAGCAATCGAATTCGTAAAATAGCCAATTTTTTCTAAATCCTAATGTCAAAAATTTGGACTTTGTTTACTTTTACATAATGAAAGTCAATTCACAATAATGAATTCTGACAGCAAACTTGGGTAGCAGATGATATCCAGCTGGCCTCCTTGGATGACCTTATTTATAGGCCTTGGTCATAATTAAATTATTTTCGATTTTTGCTTATAAATTTTGTATGTACATGAAACGACACATAAACATTATGTTTTCTCTTTCCAATAATGATCCGAATTAAACAATTTTTTCAATATTATTTTGTATTGAAAATAAAAATTGATGTCATATGGTTAGAAAAAAACATTTATCGACTGACAAACAATAATTGACGATAATATAAATATATGTATTAATAACTGATTGATCATAATCCAATCTGTCATTCATAAATTGTTTTATTAAAAAAAGATAGTTGAAAAAAAAACTGATAAAAGTTTTTTTGTTTTTGTAAATAAAAATAAAATATAATATGTAAATAAAATGAAAATGACAATTCATGTCATTTAAATGTTAGGTCCAAAAAATACCTAATCAAAGAAAAAAAAATCAATCATTTAAACCAAGATCTATTAATAAGGACACCCAGCTGGCGAAAGTCAGCTGTTTTACTCAAGTCTAATGTCAAAAAAATTGACTTTGTTTACGTTTTCATAATGGAAGTCAATTCACAATAATGGATTTTGACAATAAACTTGAAAGGCTGCTGGTCTCCTTGGATGGCCTTATTAATAGACCTTGCACAAAACCATATATTACATCAAGGTAGATGCATCAGCTGTTCTGTTCGAGCAGTGAGCTGTCCAAAAATTTTAAATCTTTTCAAATGCATGAAATTTGATAAATATTTTTGAAAATACAATTTCTAATGTATTTATAGTTGTGAAAATATGTAATTTTTCAAATATATACAACTCTGCAACAGATTGCTCTGATACATCTAACTTGATATACATCTACGAACAATATAAACGTAAATATTTTAATAATAGATTAACCAAACAAGCAAAAGAAAAACGGATAAAACAATGAAATAAACAAAAAAATATTACATTAAAATAAATTAAATTATTATTAAAAAATAATTATTATATTAAAATAAAAATGAAATGATAAATCCGATAAAAAAAACATTTTTTAATATCAATTATTATTACTAGATTTATAAAAATTTTAAAAATATATATACTATACATATATCTTTTTGGAAATGAAATAATAAAGGCAATATTTATTATTTACAAAAAAAAAAAAAGAAAATTTGTTGTTTTATTGGGATAATTATAAATTATTATTTGTGTCACATCTTTGCGAAACGTAAACAAAGTTCAAAATTGACATTAGTAGCAATCGAAATCGGAAAACAGCTGTTTTTTCTCAAGCCTAATGTCAAAAATGTCGACTTTGTTTACGTTTTCATAATGTAAGTCAGCTGGTCTCCCTGGACGACCTTATTTATAGGCCAAGCTCCAGTATGTATTATGAAAAATGAAACTCATCTACATTTTAAAAATGAAAATAAAATTGTTATTTATTATAAAATAAATAAATTTATTAGTTTATTTCTTACACTTATACTATGGCTGTAATTATCGGCATTTGTTATAGTCATACATATATAACTTTAATACTAAAAAAATCTAAATTATTAATAATGAAAAAAAATATGGCATGACCATATAATCAAGTGCTTAAAACGATGAATTGAAAGTCCCTTAACATAACCTTAAAATGTATGTATGGTTTTTTTACAAAATTACAATATTATACACTACATATATGTAAATTTATACACACACAAAAAATGTGTTTGTTTGTTTTGAGACTGACTACACACTAGGGGAAAAAATACTGACAAAAGCTGTGGGCAAAATAAAAAATATTGCTTGATTTTATGATTGATCAACATAACGGGCATCTTTAAGAATTTTGGAAAATTCAAATTTAACCCGTTCACGTTCGGAACGTGACATGGCCCGTAGGCAATCCACCAGCGAAAGGCAATACAATTCAATGGGATCGTTGGGAGTTTGTATCAGCGAACTGCTGCCGCTGGGCTTTCGTTTGAGAACAACATTCGTCACTAATTCATCGGGTCGCGTTGAAGAGGGCCGTTTCTTCAACGACGAGGAGGATGAAGATGAGGTGGCAGCTGATAATGGTTTTATGGTAATTTCAGATGAGAGGGTGGGCGTATTACCACCGATACCATTGCTTAATTTCGAAACGGCTGTTGTCTTATAGTCGCCGCCATCGCCATTTGTATTTCTTTTTATACCAACACCACGCCCATCCGACATGGGTGTCAGCAGCGGTGATGAACGTTGTGAATCCGGTGAATTTGAACCGAGTTTTGATTGATGTGGGCTATTTTGGTTTTCGTCGTGTATATGAATTTCCGGTGTTATTGTCATCTTAAAATCCCCATCATTATTGCTGGCTGTTGTTGTTGTCGGACTGTTGCGTATTTCATTTTTCACATTATCGTCCGCATTATCTGGTCGGGCATAGGGATCTTCGGGATCGGTGGTAATATCATTCATGGGTGCCAAGAAGGCCGAAACATCTGGCATATACTCACTATTGCCACCTTCATCATCATCGCTTTGATCCAATTCAATTACTTCGAAGGTACTTGAAACGGTAGTAGATAAATTGTCGGGATACATATAACTATTGGAATCGGTGTCACTGCAACAAACAAAAAATTATTAAAAAATACTTCTTCATCATGTTTTTTTTTAATTTCAGATTTTTTTCTGATATTTTGGAAATGTTGAATTTTCAACATAACTCCAAAAATTAAATTTTGAGAATTGCTATTTGAATCTAATTAACATTAAATATAAAATGGTAAACATTTTTTGATCATATTTGCTCATTTGTGCTGAAATTTGGGAATATGTTAAATTTTAAAAAAAATAAAAAATTTATTTTATTTTTCGAAAAATATAAACATTTTCTTTTTGAATTCAGTTGTTTTTGTGACATTTTTAAAAATGTTGAAATTTCAACATAAGCTTAAAAAAATTTTCGAAATAAAAACTTTGAAAATAAAATCTGAAACAAATTTTACATTGAAAAAAAATTACATTTTTTTTTTGATTTTTTTTAATTGTTGAATATTCAACATAACCCCATAATTTTTGAAAATGTTGAATGAAATGAAAAACATTTTTTTTAATATTTTAGCATTGCAACCATTTGTTGCTTCTAAACAATAATTAAAAAGCATTTTTGCACATTTTTACTTCATGTTTTTTTTGACATATGTTGAAAATTCAACAGAATTCCAAAAATTTTTTGTTTTTTGTAATTTTATGCAATTTGCAATTTGCACACGATTTTATAATATTTAGACAATACTTAACATACAATTATATAACTTGTTTTAAATATTTTGTGGTATAATAGAAAGTGTTGAAAATTCAACAAAATTTAAAAAAAATATTTGATTTACATTTTTGAAGTTGTATTTATAAACCTAAACAATAAATATGCAATGATTCAAATCCTTTTATTGTGCTTTTATGGCATTTTGTTGAAATTTCAACATATTTTTTGGCATTTTGTTAAAATTTGAACATATTTTAAAATATATATTATTTTTAAGGTTTTTGTAGCTCCTAAATTACAAGTATAAATATTCTTGCAACAGCATACTTCATGTTTTGAAGTTTTTTTAAAAAATGTTGAAAATTCAACTATATTTGAAAAACAAGTTTTTTACCATATTGATAGTGCAAAAAGTTATTATATGTTTAAACAATTGCTACAAAATGATTGTGGTAATTTTTCTTGCTGTTTTTTGGCATATTACAATATGTTGAACTTTCAACATTTTCCAAAAAAAATTATATTTTTATTGTTTTTTAAAGGGGAAACGTGTTTTTGCACGTCTAAAATTTAATTATAAACATTTTTAAAATATTTATCATCAACTTTTCATCAACGGGATTGAAAAGTTTTGGCAAGCCAATCACTTACTCACTAAGTTACAACCAAATAGGAGACGAAAAACGATAATAAACATCAAATTTTCAAGTTAACCGATTTGGGCGCTATACCAAAACATGAACCTAGATTGAAAATTATTTTGCACCCTTATTACCTAAGTATCCTAAATAACAAATTATAAAATGTCGGTGCATAAAATCTTTGAGATACCTCAAATTATGAAAATTAACCTTATATGGGGACCCTATCAAATACCCCATTTGGGCGCCATACCAGAACATGGACCTGGGATGAATATTTTTTGCACACTGATCCCTTACATTCTAAGTATTCATAATATTAAGTTCTACACATTTCAATGCATAAGAAACTTAACAAAATTTCAAATTTTTAAATTGCCTCATATGGGGGCTATACTAAAACATGGACCTAGATTGAAAATTATTTTGCACAATGGTCTCTTTTTACGTAAGTAACCTAAATACCAAATTATAAACGTTTCGATGAATAAAATCTTTGAGATACCTCAAGTTTTGAAATAACCTTATATGGGGACCCTAATTTTTGGCAAGCAGGTCACTTACTCACTAAGTATTCTAAGTACCTAGTTACAACCAAATTGAAAGCAAATAACCTAAATAAACATCATTTTTTTAAATAAGTTCATATGGGCGCTATATAAAAACTTGGACCTAGGATGAATATTTTTTGCACACTGATCACTCACACTCTTATTATACAAAATATCAAATTGGGGACATTTCAATATAACAAATCTTCAAAAATCTCAAATTTCGAAGAAAATCATATGGGGAATATAAACTATTTAAATGTCCACATTTTCCCTTTTTCTCTCAACTACAATTGAATATCAAAAATACGTTACTTTTCGTGCTATTTTAATATACATATATATACTTACGTTCCAGCTTTATACTCTGTCGTGGCACCAGTATTCAGACTATCTCTACGATATGCTGTATATTTCAAAAAGGATAAATCTTCGGTAAATCTTCTTTTGCGTATATTTGTATTAAAGGTTCCGGTTTCCAAACACTTTTGCTCCTGCAGATAATTGTAACGGATATTTTTCCATTTTGTTTGAAGAAACCGAGCTAGAAAAAATAAAATTAGGACAGAGCTACACAAAAAAATCTACAAATGGCTAACAAAGAATGGTCGTTTCTTCAACTTCAATAGACAGTATACAACGCACGTACACACACACACACAAACAAAACAAGTTGCAATATGAGCAGGCAGGCAGGCTGGTTGGTTGGCTGTGCAACTAAACCAACCACCCTCTTCTTATAGAGAAAGAATAGAGCATTCTGAAGATACACACACAAAACGTAGAAGAAACGCCAAAGCTTCATTTTTTTCATCACATATTAAACTTACATGGTGCTCCCAATTCTCTGGCAATATTATCCCATATTGCCATACGTACCGGAGTCCGGCGATAATGTGGATGCATAACATCATAAATAGCTGGATTTGCCCGCACCAGTTGTATTAAACGATCATCTAAACACAACAAAACACAAACGTATTGAAAATAATGGGGAAAAAAGAAAAAAAAACAGAAGCCAAGTTAGTTTGCAATCTTTGCCCCCTTCCCCATGTTGGTGCTGCTGGTGAGCCGGAAAAGGGAGTTTCAAATTGTGTTGTTCCAATATCTTACTCGTAATCTTACCAAAATCGGGTCCACTCTCATCATGACGTGCCATGTTTACTTTTATACGTTATTTATTTATTATTTGGTTTGCAGGGGATTTAAATTTTTATTAATTGATCCTTTCGAAAGAATCAAAAGAAGGCTTCCTTCTTCGGCCAGGCTCACTTCCTTTTGCTCCTTCTTTGCTCGTATGCTGCTTCTTCCCCTTTTGGATTGCTTCTTCTTCCTTTGCGCATGTCCGATAATTGATAACACCGATAACAAGTATAACAAACATTAAGTAGCCTGGCCACATAGCAGCATTTTATTAGTTTTGATATAAACAAAATTATTTAAATCAAATTATATACACAATCCTTATTTAATATCAGAATTTTATTATTTTTTATATAAAAAATAATTATTTTAATCAAATTATATGCAAAGTCCACATTTAATATTTTATTTGTACAATATTATTTATAAAATCTGTTATATCTTTTAAAATTTGTTATATAAATTAAAACCGTAAAAATTAAATATATAAATATTAATTTGTAAGAAAAAAGTATTAAAAATCAATTAATAAAACATTAGTTGTTAAATATATCAACCAATTAATGTACAAAATAATTAATTCTTTTAATTTTTGTATATACATTTCTTCGGCGAGAGAATTCAGGCCAGATAGCTTTCGAGATTCTGCAACCAGTTTTTCTCGACCGAATACCTTGCCGTAGAACAAGCAGATTTTGCCCAATGAGTTTATAGTGCACGACTTCAATAAATGGTCAATGAAATTATTGGACTATACCAATGCGGCTTCAGGCCTGGCAAATCCACCATTGACCAGATTTTCACATCGATACATTCCACCTATTCGTCGACTATAAAACCGCATTCGACAACCCTATCCGTTCAGAGGTGTTTACAACCATGTCTGCGTTTGTCATTCCTGCAAAATAAATACGGCTATGCAGGATAACTGGCACAAGGTCAACAGTTAAATTCAGAAAGGATCTCTCGGAGCCCTTTAAAACCGAAAATGGATTCAGACATGCTAACAGTTTGTCGGGTGAACTTTTTAACGTCCTGCTGGAAAAGATCTTACGAGAGGCAAAGGTGAAGAGAAATGGCTCTCTGTACATCGACAATAAATGGCGAGAAGACCAAGCTGATGGTATCAACGTGCATGACGTCCAGTAGACTCGAATCAACTCTGAAACTGGAGAACTACGGCTTCGAGGCAGTCAAAGATTTTATATACCCTAGTACCGCCATAAATTAAACGATTGACATCAGTTTTGAAATTCGAAGGAGAATAATGCTGGTCTAAGAAAGGATAAGAACCTAACCAGAAGTATTAGGAACTAGTTGGGAATAGTTTCGATGGGTGTAGAAATTGGACAGAAAACACTTTAGGTTTCTAATGAAGCTGTAGATTAAATCAGATTCCATAGTTGAAATGAAGCTTAGAGGCGGTGGAAAGTGAGCACCCACTAGTCTGTGCCGTCTGCAGGCCAGAACTGAACAACGACACAGGAGAAGCTCAATTGTCCCCGTTTCCTCCTCGTCAGCACAGAGTCTGCTGTAATCAGTAACATCATGTTCCCATTTTCTGGTAAAGGCCAGTAAATGGGACCAGTAATGACCAGGAAGACAACATGTCTGAGCATGAAAAAACTGCGCGCAAGACCGACGTGCCTGTAAGTCTTTTTTAAGCTCGACTTATAGTACGTTTACATTGTACCGGATTAAGTTAACCCTATGGGTTTTAACTGTCAATCCCACTGAATATTTATCATTTTTTGGAACAACTGTTTTGTCACAAGCCAGCTAAGTAAGTGTCAATCAGCTGATATTTGTTATAGTATACATACAAAATTATTAATTTTCGCCAAAAAAAATTCTTGTTGGCAATTTGAAAAATGAATAGAAAAATTACAACAATTTAATGAATAGGTTCTGCAAATAAATGTATATTTTCTAAAAATGTCTCATTTATTGTTCGCACTGTGAACATGTCATAAATTGATTGAGAAAAAACGATAATTGTTATCGATGACTTTACCTTAAATAAACCTAAACTAAAAGCGTTCCATGTTGGAAAAAAATGTTCCAAAGCAGATTTAATAAGGTAGCAGCAAAAATTCGTTGTAATTTTAAACAAAAAATTTAAAACACAATATTTTAAAAAGATGGAAAACGGGAGATTTTTGGAAAAGCAATACATTTCCTCTATTAATCAGAGAGAGATTTTCTTTTGCATAAAAGAGCCGAGTTTTTTTTAAAGCATGGATGCCACTTTAATAGGAGATTTTCTGTACAGATTAATAAAAGGTATTTTTTTGTTATAGTAGATCATGCTGCCTTTTGTGTGTAATATGGTCGGTGTTCTTCCACCAAATACAAAACAAACAATGTTGTTTTTTTATAAATTTTTATCATTTTTATTTTTCCATTATTTCTTTTAAAAACTAAGATTTTTGTTTGTATTATTTTTCACATATCATTATTATTATATATAATTAAAATTAATATTTATGTTTATATTTTTTTAATAATTAAATGATATTATTTCAAGTATCATTTTGTTTATTATATTGTTTTGTCGTGTGTGTATGTGTTTGTGTATTTTTGTAGTTGTTGTTCTCTGTTACGAATTGGATGATGATTATTTAATGAAGAAAAAAGCGGGGTGGTGGATAATTTGAAAATAACAAATGAGAAAAAAATAAAAAAAAAACGGTATATGCTTTTTGTTTTATAAATAAATTAAATTATAGAAAATGAAATATCTCCAATATTTTTTTTTTATATACGTAGTAGTTTAATGAACTATGATGAATACAAATTAAATATAGAAAAGGGGAATTATTTTAAAATAAATGTAAATTATTAGGTTTTTTCTTTCGATTTTGTTGTAAAGTAAATTAAATACTTCAGAGATTAATTGAGAACCAAAAATAAAAAAATATATATATTAAATATTATAGGAAATGATGATATATTTTTTTAGATTGCAAAAAAATTTTTTAGGGAGGAAGTATTTTCTCTATGGAACAAAAAATAACTAAAGCAAAAAATACACTTTTCTTTAATTGAAAGAAATTGCTATTTTTTATTGCATCGAAGAAAATTGGCATTGTGAAATAACAATATCTTTGTCATGTTAGAGATTAAAAAAAAAATTAAATTAAAATTTAGTTGCCTTCCTCTTGGATTTTGTATAGAAAAATAGTAAAAAAAAAGAATGTTTACATTACATACTTATATGAAGATGGTGGAGGTGGTTTTGAGAAATATTGAGGATTATGAAAAAATATTGGTTTTTCTGTTTTCGTTAAAACTACATTTGTTTGTGTGTGAGTGTGTCGTCTGTATAGCTGAGAGGGGTATGTTGACCATTGAGGGTATTATTTTTTATTTAATACATAGCAGCACACACAAACATAGTTTAATATTTTTTTTTTTGCTCCAAAGAGTTACGCGACAAATGAAGTTATAAAAAATAGGGGTTTTTGTGTATTTTGTAAGAGTTTGTTTTTTATGTTGTATGTATGTTTGTTTGTATGATTTGTTGTTTTTTTTTACTTAGTTTACCACCATCAACCCTCTCGCTTTATAGAACTGGGTGTCTCTGCCAGGCCTTTCACTTTTAGGCGATCAGCTGTCTTTAGGAATGCAGGTAATTGCTCTTGTGATACATTCACTTCACCGGCATACATGAATTCTAATATAGCCTGCAGATGTATATAGGAAACGTCCTTTAATATGATGATGGGATGTTTGGAAGGATTTTCCTGTAAAAATACAACAAAAAAATTATAGTAAGGAATTTTTGCAAAAACCCACACACACAAACAAACATACCTCTAACAATGCCTTGAAATACGGACTACAGGCCGATAGTACCATTTTGTGTGCTTTACATGTTTGTCCTTCACAGGCTAGGGTTACCTAGAAATAAATTAAAAAACAAAAATGTTATTTCAAGTGGCAAATTCAAATTCATTTTTAGGCACCCATCAAAGGCGTAGATATTACAGAATATTTTTGGGGGGTCCATACAAGGCGCAGATTTATTAAGGAATATTTTTAGACATCCATCAAAGACGTGGATTTATAAAAGAATATTTTTAGGCACCCATCACAGACTTGGATTTATTTAAGAATATTTTTAGGGGTCCAAACAAGGCGTGGATTTATTTAAGAATATTTTTCAAGGGCCAACTGAGGCGTGGATTTATTAAAGAATATTTTTCAAGGGCCAACTGAGGCGTGGATTTATTAAAGAATATTTTTAGGGTTCCATACAAGGTGTGGGAATATTTTTCAATCTATATGAGGCGTGGATTTATTAAAGAATATTTTTCAAGGGCCAACTGAGGCCTGGATTTATTAAAGAATATTTTTCAAGGGCCAACTGAGGCCTGGATTTATTAAAGAATATTTTTCAAGGGCCAACTGAGGCCTGGATTTATTAAAGAATATTTTTCAAGGGCCAACTGAGGCCTGGATTTATTAAAGAATATTTTTAGGCACCCATCAAAGGCCTGGATTTATTAAAGAATATTTATAGGGGTCCATACAAGGTGAGGAGAAGATCTTCTTCATAGAAGAGAAGATATCAAATTGTCTTCCATAGGAAGATCTAATATTGACCTACTAAAAGAAAACCTTCTTGGTTTTCTTTTAGGAGATCTTTCTATGGAACCCCTTGAAGGGTTTCTTTTAGGGCATCCTATAGCAGACCAACTGAAAAAGCTTTTTATAATGCTTTTGAATATCAAACCCCTAAGAGGAGGGCTATTTATAATTACACGTTGCATACTTACATCTGTAAAACTTTTCTCATCCCTTAGGTGTCGAAATGACGTCACCATGTTCGTTTGAAAATCGTTCCATTTTAAAAAGAACTGTTGATCGGACGACATCATTAAAAAGCCGTATAGATTGGTCGCTGTGGTGGTGGTGTTGGTGAGTGTGAGATTTGCGCACGCGCTTTTTTGTTGTCAATTTTTTTTGTCTAAGACGCCGCCTGTGTTTGTGTTAGTGAATATCGGTGGGAGAAAGTGTTACGGTGACTCTCTGATCTGTGATGTTGTTGGTTTTTTGTTCCCGAATTGAATTTGGCCAAAAACGTAGAAGATGATGAACAAAAACGAAACAAACCGAAATGTGTTAGCCCTTTTTTGTATGTCAATTATTGCGGAAAAACAAGGCCAGAGTACACACTTGTGTGGTGGTTATGGTGTTGTCGTCTCAGCACTTTTTTCACTTCACTTTGTTTTGTCCAGAAAAGTCTACGTCGTCTTCATCAGGTGTTCACAAAAACAAAACAACAAATTGAAAATTGTAGTGAAATATTGTTCTTGTTGTTGCTGCTGTTCTTTGGTTTTGGGTTTTTGGTTGTTCTGATTATTAGTCACCAATGGAAAATGCTAAAAAAGTGAAAAAGAAGAAAGAAAATAAATTATGATTTAAATATTAATATTTATTCAACTTTATTTCAAACAAGTATATAAATATATATATATATATATATATATATACGAATGCTTTAAAATTGCTCGAAAATTTGACAAAGTATACATTTACAATTCTACTAGTATATGCTATTTGAACATGTATTAACATATAATTTTATATATAACTGCATGTCCGAAAAACTTAAGAATCCGCACATTAATAAATTATTAACAAATTTCATGATTCGAGCTACAAGCTTCACCCAAAAACAAATTTTACACAAGTTCTCAAAAATCCAACAAAACTTCCTGCATACCCCGATCCTACACCAGCACATTGATCCTAAATCCAAGTTTCAGAATTCCAACTGTATCGGTTCACCCACAATACAAATTGTACCAAATTTAGTACACAGTAGTACGTATTTCCAAAACGTCCTAGTTAACTTAAACCTTCACCCCCACAGTGATCCTAAATACAAGTTTCAGGATTCTAACTCTATCGGTTCACCCACAATTCAATTTGTACCAAATTTATTACACAGTAGTACAAATTTTCAAAACTTCCTATATACCCCAATCCGATTATTCCACATTGATCCTAAATCAAAATTCCATGATTTCAACTATATCGCTTCATCCACAATTTAAATTGTACCAAATTTAGTACACATTAGTACAAATTCTAAAACTTCCTACATATTTCAATCTTACACCTCAACAGTGATCCTGACACCAAATTTCATGATTCAAGCTCAATTGGTTCACCTAAAATTCAAATTGTACCAAATTTAGTACCATTTAGTACCCATAAGTATTAATTTCTTAAACTGAATCCTGACCCCAAATCTACACCCATACAGTGATCCTGACTCCGAATTTCACTGTTCCCGCTCTATCAATTATAGCACGATTTAGTACTTTTCGCACACATAAGTAACAAATTTCCAAAACTACGTACATATCCTAATCCTACACTTCGACGATAATGCTAATTTCAAATTTCAGGATTTCAGCTCAATTTGCATCTATATTATAAAATCTAATTATAAAAGATTTACCAGTGATATATGTGACCTTGTGTCTACATCTACAAACTATTGACTTCCTACTGACCATGTCACTAGTTCATTCTAAATGACAAGCACATGTTAAATGTCAATACAAAAATGCATTGTGTTGGGTATAGTCGGTTAATAGTATTGGGGACAATGTCAATAGTAAGTCAGTAGTGATTTACGGTACACATTTCCTACAGGGTATAAAAAAAAATACAAAATAAACGAAATGTCATACAAAATGCAAACAGCAACACACACACAGAGAAACTTCATCATCATCATTACGTAGTATAATACGAGAGAAGAAATAAGTAACAGTAACAATAATAAAAGCAACAATAATAACAGCAACAACAACGTATAGCAGCACAACACCAACAATAACATTGCCGCCTGCCTGCCTTTCACTTTTCAAGGCAATTTCTGCACACAATTTTTATTTTATTTCATTTCATTTTTTTGTTTATTTAAACAGAAGTAATAATAAAATTTACCTCATGCTATAGAAATGAGTGTGTTTTATTTATTTTACATAGGTTTGTGTGTAATATGTACGAGAAGAATACACAATTACACATATAAAGCAAGTATTGTCAGCAGTAGTTTGGGGGTAAACGCTGTTGGCTGTTGAAATTCTGCACATTGTGAAGAGGAGAAAAAACCATAAACAAAATTATATCTTCACATAACCCCATGGTCAGAACAGTGGGGTCACAATGCCAAAGGAAAAGTATTAATATTAAATAATATTATCAATATATAAAGATAAGCTGGGATTCAGTCTGACTATTTTGCAAAAACAAAATACTAATGGTATCCCAAGTAACCCGCCAATACTACTGAGGTAAGCTTTTATGTGAATATACAAATTTGCATTTCGAAACTCATGGGCCCAGTTTCTAATTTTTCCGGTCGTATACTCCACTTTAAAGAAGTTTCGATAAATAAATGCAATCATATAGACATACTTGTAATGGTAATCAATGAATATCGTAAATAAGACCACATAATCGGTACAGTTTCAAATTAATGTAATAATTCGATTTGAATTTATCCCTAAATCTTTAACTCAATTTACATTTTACTTCTATTTCCAATATCTACAAGAAATACAAATTGCAAATTAAAAGAAATACAAAATTTATCCAAAGCTTTCTTATAAATTACAAATCTCTATATCTATTCGTGTCTGTCTGCGGCTTCATTGAACTTTAACATTATTGGAAAAATTACACAGACGGGCGACCATAGAGGCACCAACCAAAGCATATGGCTTTGGGGGGACTAGAAGAAAAAGACTCCTCACACAACACAAAACAACAATAGTGAAAAAAATAGAAGTTAACGTAAAACGTATACACAAAACATTTGCAAAGCAGCAGCAACAGCGAGCAGCGTCAATCAGGCAAACTACAACTTCTTCTCTACACTCCTACTAATCTAGAAAAACATTTGAAGTTTCCTAGAATACCATCGTCATAGTTGAATTTAAAATGGAATTTCGAAAAGAAATACAAATACTAGAGGGGTATAGAGATAGACAAACCGCCAGCCAGCCAGTCATCTAGCAACAACAGAAGAAGCACAGTCAGCAGTTATGGTATTTGGTGGTATTGTTGTTGTTTAGGTTTTGTTTTCGTCATCGCCCTCATCATCTTCACCATCTTCGTCGTCATCATAATGGCACGTAAATGAATGTTTGTGCCGTCGACCGATTCTGTTTGGCTGGCGACGACTGACTGATAGCCAGACAGACAATGTGGATGTGATGGCTGTTTGTAAATATATTTCTCCATCCTTCATTGGTTTGTTTGTGAAATCTTGTCTTCAAAAAAAGATGGAGAAGAAAAAAAATTGGGAACTATGCCTTGGAATTTGTATTGGGAGGAACTGATTTGTTTTTTGTAAGGTTGCTGGTGTTTGTGCTATATAGTCGTGCCGTTGCCACCAACAACGATGGCGTATCCCCCCTATTTGCAAAATGTTTGCATTTTTTCGGTGGTCTAATCTTCTATTGGCGGAGGGCGATGTGTATTTATTATGTTGTTTTCTTTTTCATTATTTTTTCAGGTGTTTCACCTCTTTTTTTCGAAGTTTTCGTAATGTTATAAGATTTGTTATTTTGCATATCTAAGAAAATATAGAAAATTAATAGCAAGTAAAAAAAAAATTATGAAATAATTTATAATAAAATTGATATCTTTACCGGCCAGACATCTTCTACACAGTTCCTTTGAGACATTTATTTAAGATTATCCACATGGTATTAAATTTGGAAAATGCCAGCAATTTTTTTCCTTTCTAAGATTATGTTAATAGAATTTTTAATAAATAAAACCAATTTAAACCTTTATGATTTAGAATAAAATTTAATTTACCTACTGCAGCAGACATCATCACACTCCCTCGTTTACTAGCAATTTTGGCACATTTGTTTTCTTCATTTGCCACATTCTATTACTTCAGATCATCACTGGACATTTATTTTAAACAATTTTGGTATTTTATGTATTCAATTAATTAAATACTTAACATTTTTTAACAAAAATTATCTTCGCAATTAATTTTTTCACAAAAAAGGCCGCACTTCACAACGGCTAAATCAGCTGTACAATATTCTCCTCCCTCTTCTTTATTACTCAGCTGTCAAAGTGCCCGCCTCTCTCTTTCACAATACAAGAAGCAAACTACACATTAAATTAAAAACATTCACTTCACTTTTAATTTTTACACTACATCTAATAAATCTATGTAAAAAATATTAATCACCTTCTTCTCGTTACGATTAACCTTACAAAAAAGGAAAAAAAGAAGTAAGCAAAACAGACAAATTACCAAGAAAGAAACCAAAATGAAGTATGGGTAGCAGGCAGTCAGTCAGCAAAAACAATCTTGTTGAGTGTATGACGATGATGGGGTGTCGCGCAACCAAGTAAACAAAACAAATGCCAAATGCAATCACACATACAGTCACTAATACATCCTTACAATAACATAACATGAGATTTGACAACTATTGCAGTGGAGAGAAGAGCACAATTGAAAAGAATAGAGAAAAAAAATGCTCCAACAATAACAAAACAAACAGCGGAAAGGAAAAACAAAAGAAATTTCATTAGATTTGTAGAAAAGGAAACAACAACAAAAACAAATGCACCTTTATTTTGTTCACCATAAGGAAATACAAAGTTGCTGCAAAAATGTTAACGGCGGCATTAAATTATTCTGAATGGCGCATTCAATGAAATGAATTAGAACGGTTTAATGTTACAAATGGACGTTGACCTTAGAGAGTTTGTGTAATTTTTGGAAATTAAAATTACTAAAAAATAAATGAAAACTAAAACATTGAAGATGACTTGGTCGGCTGGCTTGTTATTTTCTTTATTTTCTACAAGACCGACCCACTAGTAGAACTAACGGAGGGAAAAAGAAAGAGAAAGAAACCCATGTTGTATCATAAGTTGGAAGAGTATGTTTGATTATTGAAGATTGTGAAGAAGAAAACATAACAATGAAAGTAGTCAAAGGGACGGTGGCGACGACGACGTCAACGAATAGAAGACAAAATGCAAGTAAAGACAGCCAAGCAATAACAAAATAAAGTGTAACTGTGTGGCGGCGGTGTACACGAGAGAATGCCACAACACAAAGAAAGCAGCAAGCATGGATTAGACAACTCATAAAGGAAATGACATATCAAAAATGAAATTGTAGGGAAAATAAAAGCGTGGGAATGCAACATTGTATAAAGTATAGAATTGGTTTTTTTGTATATTCCAAATATTAAGCATTTAAATTAATATGATTTTTTTTATTAAATCATAGAAATGTAGAAATAAAATTCCCAAGAAATTACTAGATCACTAAATTGTTAGGGCATAGGCATATGTAGTAGCATAAATCCTACATACATATACATATATTTTTTCGTAAACAAAATGGCTTTGCTTAAGCATCAAATATACACAACAGGTTTTAAATATCAATTCTATTTTTTTAATATCACCGAACAGAAATATTAATATTTCACCTTTCACCTTTATTATTTTTGCTCTTACATTATTCACAACAAATACATCTCTGTCTGAAATTTGTCTGGTAACTCCCGTAAGATCTCTATTCTCTCTTTCTCTGCCAGCCGATGGTTGGACGGATAAATGAAAAATAAAACATTTTTTTCAGCGTACGACTCCTATTTACAACAAAAAACATACAAGCACACACACACACATGCATAAACACAAGCCACTCACTCTTCTTTTTTCTTAAACAACAACATGAAGAGCAGCACAAACAACCAAGAAAAATCCATCACCATCAACCATCGCCAACTAACCAACGCTTGATTTCGCAATAACGACGAGCCATGAAGTTTTCTTTTTCCATGTCGTTCTTTTTGTCTTTTGTTATATACGTATAAAAATGTATTAATTTTGTCTTCTTACCTTTTATTTAGCCGTGTGTAGCGGATGAACCCTTTTTAATTTCTTTTCAGCAATACTTCTCCCTTTCACACAATTTTTTTCTTTCTTTCTCTGATTCTTTCTTCTTTCTTTTTTGTTGCCTCAAAAAAAAAAACCACAAATTTCACTGAACTTTCTATCCACGTTCTTTATTTATGTGGCTCGCTTGTAATTTTATTTCTTTTTGTGTAATTTTTTTACCACACTTTCAAGAGAATTTACAATTTTATTTATTTCCGATTTATATAGATGCTTTATTTTTTTAAGAGCTCCGTATTTTAATGCACTTGCTTGATTTTTTTCTACCGCTGCTGTGAAAGAACTAGGGATAAGTAAATCTACTTTCGACTAATCGATTAATCGACTTTTTGTATTGAAAAGTCTACCGCTGCTGTGAAAGAACTGAGCCGTGTTAAAAATGCCTGGACAACGTCGTTTGGTAAATGACGCCGTCAATAAGGTCGTGTTGTCATTCGACAGTGAATTAGAGAGTCTAATGAAACATTTACACGTAGCAGACCCATTTTAAGGAAATTGTGATTTAATTGACATGCATTCAATTGTGTAGGTGGCCCTTGGAAGGTCTTAACTTATATAGAAGTCAATTAGGAGGTCTTTTGGCCTTTAGAAGTCATATAAAATATATTTTTGTAAAGAAATATTTTAGAAAATGTATGAGAAAGCGATATTTACATTAGAACTTTTTTCAGTGTTAGCCTACTTTAAAATGATTTAAGCAATAGAATATGTAAGTAAGTAATTAATAAAAAAACCCACTGGGTTAACTTAATCCGGTACAATGTAAATAAGACCTCTTGTCTATTCCCGTACTGTAAAACGGCGTATACATTAGAACTTTTTACCGGGTTAACCTACTTTATGAGGATTTATTTGACATATATGCAAAGGAATTGACAATTGAAACCCACTGGGTTAACGAAATCCGGTTAAAAGTAAATGTACTGTAAGTATCTAGTAATTTCTAAAATTTATTCGATATCATAAAGAAACATTTGTTATCGTAGTAAAAAAAATTACATTATTATTTTACATTACATTATTTTTCCAAACATTACACACACACAGTCACACATTTTGTATATGACTTTGACATGACAAGCCACAGTATGAAAAAATTGTAAGTTATAAGTTGCTATGCCCTACCTTAAATAATTTTACCTTGCTACTTTCTAAAGAACACCATGATTAGAATGTCCTTTGAAATGTCTCTAAAAGCATCTCTGTACGTAATTCTCTCCTATAAAAGATCTCTTGATATTCTTCTGTCTATACTAGTGCTCTAGAAGCTTTTTATATAGGGATTTACAATGAAATTGACATTTTAAACAGACGTTTAAGGGCTAAGCAGAATGCTCGCGTTGAGCCATCCGTCGCGTTATATGTTATCGAAAATACAACAACCACAAGGAAACGATAACACAAACGCATATCGTTTCCTTGTGGTTGTTGTATTTTCGATAACATATAACGCGACGGATGGCTCAACGCGAGCATTCTGCTTAGCCCTTTATTTCATCAACTGTAGCCACACGTCGTCATTTAAGAGGTAAAGAAATGGCCTTTTGAAACTTATATTTTCAAAACGAACCAAAAATTATAAATATTAATACAATTACAGGTGGGTTACTCAAAAATACATCAAAATCGTTATTATAATATTTAATTTTTCATATATTTAGATATTTGTAGCATTTTATCATGCAACTTTGTGCACTGGTTCACACAATTCCATTCAGTGAATAGCCTAATCGGTCAATTTGTTTTGATTCCCCTATTCGGCCCGATTTTCCTAATCGGTGTTTATTTTGATTCTGGCTTTTATCAGTTACGTTTTGACTCAATTTCGTCAAATTCCACAACGCCGTCAAAACTTTAGAAGCGGCATTGTACTTTTTAACTAACTTTTTTTCATTCGAAAGCACGCCACGACAAAATAAAAAAATAAAAATAAATTCAACAGATAAGAGAGGATTAATAATTCTACGCCTTAAAAAATTAAAATTATTATGTATTGTAAGTATTGTATATTGTGTATATTCGCCGGGTAAACGGCAACACCAACGCAACGAGGACGGAATCACAGCAGCAAACATAATTATCATCAACAGCAGCAGAATCGGCAGCAGCAGCAGCGGTGATTCTAAATAAAAAGCCACAGCAGCAGACGACGAGACGGAGAATCATCATCATCATCGTCTACTTCAAAGGTTATGAAAACATAACTATCTTAAATTGAAATATTGTGAATTAAAATGTTAAAATTAAATAGTTTACTACGTAACATAAATAAGCTGAAATTCCCCGCCATTGTATGTCGTAATTTTTCTGCAAAAACCGAAGAACAATTGCCGAAATTAAGTTCTCGCCAAAAGACATGGTTAGAAACCCAGGAACGTTACAAGAACTATCAAAATATCATCTATAGTTCATATTTGGAAACGCAGGAGGAACATATGAGCTATGGCCTGAAGAGATCCCTGATAAATAAAATAAGACGGGATAGAAAACGGCAACAAAATGAATCCAAACAAGGGGGCCTTAGTACTGGATCACAAATTCCAAACGACTGGATGGAAGAATATGAGCATTACAGTGGTGCGGCGGATGAAAATGATACGACAATAAATGGTAATGAGGTTGAAAACACCTTGGGAAAAGCGGATAGTACAATACCAGCATCTAATGTGCCTTGTAACGGCTGTGGGGCATATTTGCATTGTAATCATCACACAAGACCGGGTAAGTTGGAGAGACTCCATATTTGACTTGAAAATAATTAAATTATTTTTTTTTTTTTTAGGTTTCCTGCCGGTGGAGATTTTCAAAGGTCGCACCACCAAAGAACTAAAGACCATTATATGCCAACGTTGCCATTTCCTAAAGAACTACAATATTGCCTTAGACATAGAAGTGACTGCGGAATCATATGTTGATACCATATCCCGCATTAAAAACGAATTCGCTTTGGCCATTGTTATTGTGGATCTTCTGGATTTCCCCTGTTCAATTTGGCCAGGTATGCATGAAGTTTTGGGCCCCAAACGACCAATTTTTGTGGTGGGGAATAAGGTAGATCTGCTACCACGCGATAGCAATGGCTATTTGGATCATGTAAAACAGTGTCTGAAAGAGGAAATCATAAAAACCGGATTCGATAGGTTGAATATCAAACATGTCAGTCTGATATCAGCCAAAACGGGCTATGGCGTAGAGGAACTTATAACCCAGCTACAGAAAATATGGGCCTACAAGGGAGATGTCTATCTGGTTGGTTGTACAAATGTTGGTAAAAGTTCTCTGTTTAATATTCTCCTTAATTCGGACTATAGTAGACCACAAGTTTCGGATTTGATACCAAAAGCCACGACATGTCCATGGCCGGGTACCACGTTGCAAATGTTGAAATTCCCCATTTATAGGCCGTCGGAAATTAGGATATTCCAACGATTTAAACGTTTGCAATCAGAGAAATTTGCAAAAGCTGAAATGGCAAAGTTGCGTTTGGAAAAGGCCCGCAAAACGGGAAATATTGAAGATGTTGTACCCATGGGTACCATTGGTAGGACATATATCGATAATAGTGCTGTAGAAGTGGCAGATCCATTTGCCTTGGGTGGTGGCACCCAACCCATAACCAGCTTAAACGAAAAAAGCAAAGAGTTCCAACAAGCCAGATGGCTGTATGATACACCCGGCGTTATGCATCCCGATCAGATAACAAATCTGCTTACACCTCAGGAACTAATGGAATTACAACCCAAACAAATGATATCACCCAGAGCGTATCGTTTGAAACCGGGAATGAGTCTGTTTGTGGCTGGTTTGGCACGTTTAGATTTTATCGAATGCAGTTCCAAAGATTTGGATTGGATTCAGGCATTCCTGTTTGCTTCATTTAATTTACCCACATTGATTGTAAAAACCGAGGGAGCCGAAGAGGTATATAAGCAATATTTGAATAGTCCATTAATGCATGTACCCAATATAAATGAAAATACGAAACGTCCATGTGATTGGCCCGGTTTACAATGCCATCCCGATGAGATCAAAGTCAAAGGTTATATTTTAAAGCCTAAAATAAACGAATTAAATTGTTCGGCAGATATAACACTGTCATCGGTTGGTTGGGTTGGCCTACGCATTCCCGTCGACACTGAATGTTGGTTTAAGGCCTGGACGCCCGGTGCGAAAGGAATCTATTGTAGAAATTTATCATTAATACCATACGCAGAGCGTTTAATTGGTAAAAAGATACGCAATTCATTAGCATATAACACATCGAAACCGTTTATTTTTAAGAAATAAAGACGTTATTTGTTAATTATTTTTTTCAATTATTGTGGTATTTATTTGAGGCGGGGAGAATTAGTATGAGGTTCATACAATATTTGAAATGCCCTGGGTAAAGGTACCCTATAAGTATGTATTACATAAATAAATATGTATTACATTTTTGGCCTTAAAGCCAATTTGGCATTTGGAAAACGGCTGGAAAGTCCACTTTTTAATGAAGACATCTAGGAAGTTTTGAGTCCGTCAAACACATTTGAAATGTCTTCTTTTTATTAGAAGGTAAATTTATTACATGGTAAATTTAGCCTGATTAAGAAAATAAACCCTGATTCAGCCTTTAATAATGATTAAATGTTATATGTAAATTCGCTTTAACAGACCTTTAAATTATGTTATCACTTAATATATTTACTAAATCCCCTGTTTAAGGAAAATGTTCAGGATCCACTGTTAAAAAAAGAAAATGTATTCCTTCTGATAAAGATTTTCCAGAAAGCCTTCCGGTTATCTAAGAACTTCTTTGGAAGTACATAATGACTTTAAAAAAAACACTCCCAACTGTTTAGGCTTGTATTAAAATTATATAAAGATTTTTTTGTAATATTCTATTTCTGTGGCAATTTTTCAATCAATGTGTTTTTATACTTTGGATAGGATTTGATCAAAAATTATTATGTTGTTTTATTTTGTAATATATTTTTATATTTTGTTTTTTTTTTTCTCATGATTATAAAAAAACAAATGTAACAGTAAAACAGCTGTTTCCTCACATTCATGGCACAGTAAATAGGTAGTCCATTTTGCTCAGCTGATGACTCGATCAACTGGTCAAAGTGCTTAATTTCTATTTGAATTCTATGTGCAATATTGCCAACCATGTGAAATATTATAAGGAAAAATTTCACAGCTGGTCGAGACAAAAACAAAGATTTTTGTTTTTATAACTCACCTTATTATTGCATCATGCTAACATTGGTGACTTTATTAATAAACCTTCAAAATTCCTATGTCAATTTTACTCGAAAAACAAACAAACACATCTTTAATTAAAATTTCATAAAAGTCTGGCTTTACAAGCCTATCTTCTCATTTCGATTAATATATTATCGATAATTTATCATCTTTACAAAAAGAAAAAAAAATGGTTACAGAATACCAAATAACTCTTTGTGTGTACACATTCCACGAAAAAAAAAACTTTTGACAGTTCGAGCAGAGGAAAAAAATAACAAAGAACGAACGAAGTTTTTCGGGATATTTTTGCAGTTTTCAATTGAATTTTATTTTTAGAAATTAATAAAAATAACAATTTGAAAGAAAGCAAAGCGAACGCGATTAACGGAAATGTTGCAATCATAGTTAAGAGAAACTATTTATTTAGGTTTATTTTGTGGATTTCTGCACTTACAACTTTCGGAACTGGGTTGTGCACACACAGACACACTCATACAAATACACTCGCACTCTCGTACATACATTTCAACAGCAGGCAGGCACACAAGAAGACAAGGAAGAAGAACAGCAGAAAAAAATACCGACTATCGGAAGGCAGGCAAGCATTCTGCAGCAGCCAGTTACAGCCAGCCAGCCCATATTCATGTAATTGACTGAAAAGGGGCTTTGTAACAGAGCCGTTCTATAAAGAAAACGAGGAAAAAGGATTTTTCCTACAACCCAACGCAGCGCAAAAAATGGAACAAAATGCCAATGATCCCTTCGCCTCGGAAAATAGTGGTACGGCCCGTTTTATAGGCGGCGGTGCGGCCACAGACCACTCCCTAGACAATGGCTTGCCTGGAAGTTCCGGAGGCCTGGGCGCCAATACAGCTGGTACTGTAAGCGCCTCACATGAATTTCAAACAATAAAACCCGGCCTAAGCAGTGGCCTAAAACCAGCCGGACGAACGGAAATTCCACACAGTGAATTGGTCAAGATGTTATACTATTTGGAGGGAGAGCTGCAGGCCCGCGATGTCGTTATAGCCGCATTGCGCAATGAACGCGTCAAACAATATATCTCCCAGCTAAAAGTGAAACGTCTGCAACCGAACGATCCTCATGCAGCAATATTTCGTGATAAAATTGCCCTCTCCGGCAACCTAATATCACGCGAATCCTCGACCCAGGCGGCACAAGCTGAAATGGAGGTGCGACAAATAATCGAACAACAAATGGAACAGCAATATCAAATGGTCAGCAAACAACGGGCAACACATTTGCGAATGGTTAGCATCCTCACCGAATCGTTGGAAAATAATCAACGTATGCTCCAAGAGTTGGAGGAGGAGAAACGTAAACATGAACATGACACCGCTCAGGGCGATGATATAACATACGGTTTAGAGCTGGAACGTACAAAGTTGCGGCAGGAGCTGGAAGAGGAACGTGAGAAGGTGAAAAAGCTTGAGAAGGACTTGAAGAAGCTGCAGGAAACATTGGATTTCGAGAGGAATCGTCAGAAACAAATTGTGTTGCTGTTGATTGCCGAACGCAAGAAAATCATGATGAAATATATTGAAGAGGGTGAGTCAACGCGGGGGTGATAAGCGGGTGTAAAAGGGTCTTCTTTTGACATACCTTGTCCCAAAGGAAAACAATTTTCTATAGAAAAAAAATTTCCCAGCCCATTGGGGAATTTTTTTTCTACAGAAAAAAATTGCCCAGCCTATAGAAAAAAAATGCCCAGTAGGCTACTAGGCAATTTTATAGAAAAAAAATGCCCAGCCTACTGGGGAATACTTTTTCTACAGAAAAAATTTCCCATCCTACTGGGGAATATTTTTTTCTATAGAAAAAAATTGCCCAGCCTACTGGAGAATATTTTTTCTATAGAAAAAATTGACCATCCAACTTGGGAATATTTTTTCTATAAAAAAGTGGGGAACTGGGGAATTTTTTCTATAAAAAAAAAATGGCCAGCCCACTGGGGTTTTTTTTCTATATATTCCCCAGCCTACTGGGGAATATTTTTTCTATAGAACAATATTTTTTTTTGTTTCTAACCTCAAATTAGTTTCTAATCCAAAATATTGTTTTTGTTTATAAACAAAATCTTCCTTTAGGCAAACGTTCTGAAGATCTTGCCCAAATATTGGCCGAAGAAAAACAACGTTCCGATACTATAGCCGAGGGCCTCGAAGAGGAAAGTAAAAAATCTCTACGCATGGAAGAGGAATTGGAGAAGCAACAGGCAGCTTTTGAACAAGAAAGGAAAATACTTAAAAGTAATTTGGCCAAAGAAGAATTGAGGTGAGCTATCAAAGAAAATGTGAAAATGTTGCCCCAATACAATTATATTTCATTATTGTGAATTATCATTTATTTAGGGTCAAAGAATTGGAACAAGAGCTGCTGGCATTACGGGCCGAAAATGAGGCTTTGAAAAAACACCAACAACAATTGCAACAAAATGCAGCTTTAGCTGCTGGCAGTACTGCTGCCAAATCACGGGCTTTTAGTGGTAAGTTTAGAGTTTAATCCAAATGATGACAAAGCTATACAAAACAATATTTCCTTTAAGTGAATTTACTTTAATTTTATAAAAACTTTTTTAATTTTCTTTAATACAGAAATATTTTGTTAACAAAAAACAAAAAAGAGAATAGTTGAAAATCAAAACAAAATACCTGAAAGTTATTTAGTTTTAAATTTAGTACAAAAAAACAAAACCTGCAAAAATCGAAATACCTAACTAAATTAATAAAAATCAAATATTTTATTAAACGAAATTCCTTTTTTATTGCTTCTTCACCTTCTTTTTTTCCTTTGAAAAACAAAAAAACCGAAACAAAACCAAAAACGACGTACCGAAACCTTCCCAAAAAATAAACCACAACCAATATAAACCGTTTAATTTTTTTTAATTCTATCTACAAATTTATACAAATTCCAAAGATATCTGAAAATTGTATAAAAAACAAGGTGATTTTTTAATTTTCTTCTTCATTTTTCATTTTCTCATCTTCATTTAATTTAGTTTGATTTTGTTTTTACTATTTTTCTGTCCTTTGAATTTGTGAATTTGGTTTTTGTTTTTCTTTCTTCTTTCAATGTCTTATCAAAATTGTTGAAAAAACACCAACTGCACCTATTATTATTATTTATTCCCTTTTTCACAATATTTTTAAGGTTGTGTTCTACAAATTTTTTTTGAAAATTTTTTATAAATTTAAATATTTTACAAAAAAATATTCTAATTGCCCACTGGGAATATTTTTTCTCTATAGAAAAAAATTGCCCATCCCATTGGGGAATATTTTTTCTTTAGGAAAAAAATTGCCCATCCCACAGGGGAATATTTTTTCTCTATAGAAAAAAATTGCTCAGCCCACTGGAGAATATTTTTTCTTTATAGAAAAAAAATTGCTCAGCCTACTGGGGAATATTTTTTCTATATGAAAAAGTTTGCCCATCCCACTGGGGAATATTTTTTCTATAGGAAAAAAATTGCCCATTTAGAACATAACCTCACTTTGTATTTTTTAACTATAATTTAAAGTACGTGTTGTGTCAACAAATTTTATATACGAACAGCTAGTAATCAATTGCACTGTTTATATTATTTGTTTGTTGTTTGTAAAATAAATTGCTCTCTCTATCTATCTCTACTTCACTCTCTGTCTTCCTTGTTCCCTTAATTCTTTAGAGATCCTTTTTGAACACAAAAAAAAAACAATCTAATGTTTATCTGTTGTTCTCATTAAACAAAATCAATTTTGTATCATACTTTTTTTATAACATAGTGTAAATGATAACTAATTAATTAATATATTTATGTGTTATTTGTTTTTCTCTCTCTCCTCTTTGTTTTCTCTTCTTGTGTATTCCATGTAAATTTGTACATGTACATGTTCGTGTGTCGTATCGTGTAGCAGAAGATGGATGTGCCACATCTATGGTTAATATAGCAAAAATTGTACAACCCACAGCTACAGTATCTAGTGTCCCTGTATCAGGTCCTACCACAGGTATAGCTCGCTCACTTGCCCCAGGACAAAATTTACGTACGGGTGTAGCAACAGCTCCTACTATAACACCTTTACCTCAAATGGCCACTGTGGTGGTGTCCCAACAACAACAAACGGCCTCACCAGCAACCGCAGCATCAGCAACACAAGCTGCCGCCGCCGCTGCAGTAGCACCCTTATCATCATTAGCGGCAACAACAAGTGGTGAGGCGATTTTACCCTCCTCACCATTGACATTAAATCCTGTTTTAGCAGCCTCGCCATCCTCCGCACCGGGTGTTGTGGCTACAGCTGCCGTGGCGCCACCATCACCCTCACCCAAAATGCAACCCACAGCCACAATACAAAGGGCACCTGGTGGTAAATATTCAGCATTGGCAGCTGCAGCTGCTGCCGGTCATTCGCTGGATCAAGCTCCTCCACCGCATCCGGTGCCCATAGCTGTGCCACCGGTGACAGTGCCACCATCGGGGGCCCGAGGTGCACCACCACCTATACCTCCCAATAAGCCCATAGTACCACCAAAACGTGAGCCATCATTATCACGTTTGGGTTCCATTACGGGTGCTGCTGCTGCGGCCGCTGCAGCTGCCAATGCAAAAATTAATTAATTAGGTAAATAGAAAAACATACACACTCTGCAACAACAAAAACAACAACATCATTATCATCCTCGTCATTATCAAGAACAACCGAACAACAACAAAAACAAATTAGTAATATAGCAAGGTTTTTTTGAATAGTAACAAAAAACAAAAATTTAAGGAAACAACAAATACAATAATACTCTCTCTCAACAACAACAACAAAACAAAAATTACTTTATACATAAAAAAATACAACATATAAATATAAATATATAAATATTTGATGATGAAATACGTTACGTATACATACATATACTATATAAACAAACAAATTTAGATCTTGAAAATTATTCCAAAATTTACAAAAAATGAAATCCATGAATATCATTCAAAAACCTCCCTAAATTCTCCTTTTAAAAAAAGTAATCTCAAAAAATACATTATTTTAACTAGAAGTACTTGAATTTTTTTCTTTTTTTTTCTTGAATTATAACATTTGGAATTGGAAGAAAAAAAATTATATTAAAATATAATTTAGAAATTAAAAAAAGAATTCCTTTTAAACCAATCTCAATGAATTAAATTCAAAGAACAATTTTTCTTGATACAGAGACCGGTGGTCTTTATAAATATATATGTGGTCCCCATAAAGATCTGTGGTCTTCTTTAAAACCCAATGATCTTTATATAGATCTGCGATCTCTTTACAGATCAATTGGTATTTATAGCCTTTACAAAAGTAATTTGGTCTCTTTGTAGACTAATTCACCTTTAAAAAACACATGTAGTCTCTATACAGACCAGTAAGACTACAGTAAAAACTCGCTAATCCGGATAATTGATTGCAGACCCCAATCCGGATTACCGAGATTTCCGGATTATCGAGTTTTACTAATTGGTTTAAATTTATATTAATTTGGTGATAATTTAATTATTTTTATGCTTTCATTAAAAATGAAAATTATTCATTTCAAAAAATATGAACTTTGAATATAATAGGTACCATTTTCTATTAAATTTGCAACGATTTTTTTATTAAAATAAAAAGTAACGTATCTTTACAATCCGGATTTTTGAGTCAAATAGGTCAATCAATCCGGATTATAGGATACGCAATGGGTTGTGAAATGCAGTCCGGATTACCGAATAATCCGGATTGTCGAGGTTCGGATTATCAAGTTTATACTGTATATAAAGATCCGTGGTATCTATACAGAAAAATGTGTCTTTAACATAACCTCACAAAAATTACAAAATTTTTAATTTTAATTAAAAAATGTTTGGTTAAAAGCATTTGAATCAGTTTATAGGTAAAAGTATTTGCCACATTATCCGCAGCTGGAAAATTTCCATCTGACTTATCCTTCTGGTTTTATTAAAAAAATCTTATAATGAGAATTTAACCTAACCTCAAAAAATCCTATAAACAATTTGAAGTCAATATTTTTTGTTTAAAATCATTTGAAGCAGTTTATAGGTAAAAATTAAATAACAAGGTTTTTTGTGTGCCTACTGTATTTATCACATCATGAGTAGCTTGAAAAATTCCATCTTACATAACCTCACAAAATTTCCGATTTTTTTAAAATTCAATTTTTTTTACTGAAATGCTATAAATTACTTTATAATATAAAAAATGTGATGGTTTAGAATTATCCCTTTGGTTTCCCTAAAAAATTGTATCGTTGGAATTTAACCTAACCTCAAATACAACATAACCCCAAAAAAACCTATAATATTTTTTGAAGCCAATATCATTTGCTTAAAATACTTATCTTTCTGGTTTTCGAAAAAAACGTAACCTAACCTCCAAAAATTTTTTATATTTTTTCAGTTTTTTTCTATATATGTTTCAAAAATAGATTTTTTAAACATTTAATTTTGATAAAATTTTCAATACAAATTTGTCTATTTGTCTCATATTTGACAAAAATGTTGGTTTTTCTTTTTGCAAAATTCAACCTAACCTTAAAAAATTAAAAAAAACATTAAAATATGAATCTCATAATAATAATAAAAAATTACATTTTTCTTCTCTTCCAAATGTTATATATCATCACAGTACCTAGTTATTAATTTGTATTTATGTATATTTTTTTAAAATATATATTTTTTTCTTATTTATCTAATTGTATTTTTTTTGTTTTTTTACACATATGACACGAAAAAACGGTATTAAGAATTGCTAATTTATAACTCCATTCTTTAAGTATTATATTATTCTATATGTATTGATTTTTTTGCGAAAGTTAATAATAGATAAGCAGCTTTCTTTTAGAATCATTTATTTTTTATATATCTATAATTTAATTTAGCCATAAGCTGCCTATGTGAACGCTATTGTGTTTTTTTTGTTTAAGTATATAGTTTTGAAGCATAAGTGAAAATAATAAGTATGTAATTATTACAAATAAAATAAACCAAGCAACCTATGGTTTGACAACCAATAATTATTATTTATTTGTTTTTCTTTTTTTGTTGTTGTAATGTTGAAACCCTACTCCATTACACCCTTGCCGTGGGTCTCATTTATTTAATTTCTTTTTTGAAACAATGGAAAACAATTTAAAAAAATAGAGATTTTTTTCTTTACTACTTTTTTATTCAATCCTTTAAAAAGTTTTGCGCACAGTTTTTTTTTAATTTTCTAAATTTTGCGTTTCTTGCAATCAACACAAAAATGGTAATATATGAAATGAGAAAAAAACGCCAATATATAAATAATTTTTGACAATGATTAAACATCTTCAGCTATTTCCTAAATAAAAAAAAACAAAAATAAAAAACAGAGTATTGAATGAGAAAGACTATAAAAACAAACACAAGAAGAACAACAAAAAAAAAAAAAAAAACAATACATAAATGTATAGAATTTTATTAAGGAAAAGAAAATCCTTTATAACAATAATATAAACAGTTTGAGGTAGTATTTAAAAAAAAAAACAAGTGTTACAAGAGACAGCAGAATAAAAAGAAGAAAAGAAATTGAAAAAGAAATAAATAAAACATAACCCCCAAAAAAAAGTCCTTCAAAGAAAAACAAAAAATGAAAGAAACTAGAATGTATAACATGTCGTTTTGAAACAAGAAATATATTTGTATTATGATTGAATTCGTTTATTGAACTAAAACAGAAAATGAGAATACACACTCGAGTAAAACATATTGATACCAAAGCATACTGAGATTAGGCAAATAATAATAAACAAAGTGTTTTATGCTAAAGTACAATATTTGATTCAATTCTCAACACTCTACCTGAATTAAATATTACCATTTCCAATATATAATTACAAATAATACTAATACATAATTAATCTATGCCAAAAAATCCTTTAAAATATTCCAACTTTTGTGGGGTTGCCGCCTTGGTAAAAACATCAGCAACCATTTCTTTTGTTGATAGATACTTCAAGGATATTTCATTATTGTCAATTTTCTGTTTAATAAATTTAGCTTTAATGTCCACATGTTTGGTCCTTGACGAGTATTTATTATTTGTGGCCACTTGTATAGCTCCTTTGTTATCACAGTACAGAACCATGTTGACTTTGCTGTTTGGATTGAGTTCTTTTTCGAGTCGTTTTAACCAAACAGATTCCTGTATAGCTGCTGTAATTGCCATGAACTCAGCTTCCGTTGAAGATAGTGCCACCGTTTTTTGCCTTTTTGTAGACCACGATATTGCTGCTGATTGAAAAATGAATACGTAGCCAGTTGTCGAATGACGGTCGTCCAAATTTCCAGCCCAATCTGCATCGCAATATCCAGTAATATCTCCTTCGACATCTCTCTTATAGATGAGCCCTTGTTCAATAGTTCCTTTTAGATAACGCATTATTCTTTTTACAGCTTCCCAATGCGCTCTGCCAGGATTAATTCCAAATCTGCTCAGCATATTCACAGCGTAGTATATATCAGGGCGCGAAACCTGTGCAGCGTACAACAAGCACCCAATAGCTTCCATATAAGGAGTATTCGACATTTTTTCCTTTTCAGCCTCGGTTTTAGGGGACATAATTTCGGACAACTTCTGATTATAGTCCATCGGTGTTGACGAAGGGTTACACTCATTCATTCCGAAACGTGTCAGAACATCTGATATATACTTAGACTGATCAATTTTGATTCCTTCTCCAAATCGTGATATTGTCATACCAAGCACAGTACATACTTCCCCCATGTCTTTCATTTTAAATTTATTCGAAAGAGCGTCCTTAACAGAATTTATTTCATTAACATCATTGGAAAATATAAGAACGTCGTCGACGTATATTGCAATATAAATCTTCTTTTCTTCCGTCATCTTAGAGTATACGCATTGATCCACTTCACCTCGTACAAAACCCATATCGACAAGTTCCTTGTTTATAGTCTCATTCCATACTCTACCAGATTGTTTCAAGCCGTATATGGATCTATTAAGCTTACAGACTTTATTAGAACCATCACGGAAGCCTTCGGGTTGTTCCATGTATATGATTTCTTTTAAAATCCCATTTAAGTAAGCGCTAACAGCATCCATCTGATGAATCTTCATATCATATTTTACTGCCAACGCTGTTAAATATCGTATTGATTCATACCGAACAACTGGAGAGAATGTTTCCATATAATCGATACCTTCAGTCTGTGTGAAGCCCTTTGCGACTAATCTTGCTTTCCATCGCAACGTGTTTCCATTGGAATCCAGCTTTGACTTAAAAACCCATTTTGATTTCACAGCTTTGCATCCTTCAGGAAGTTCAACCAAAGTCCAAGTATTATTGACTTTCAATGAATTAATTTCTTCTTTCATAGCTATTTTCCAATTTTCAGAATCTTTAGATGACATTGCCTGTTTTATATTCTGAGGGTCTGAAGAAACATACTCTATTGCAGAAAACGCCGTTGATGACTGATTTCGGTTTGCAATCCTTTCTGATCTTCGAATATTATCAGATATTTGTATTGGTCGGTTTGGTTCCCACTCTTCATCATTTGTGTCCACGTAGCCGTTGTTCTCTTGGCATTCTGAGTCCAAAAACTCACTATCAGTCTCAGAATCACTACGAGGCTCATTTTGAATTTCATTATTGCCATTCAATTCGCTTGACTCCATATTCGTTGATACAGTATTTACTGTTTGGTCCAATACATTATGACTTTCTTCATTCGGAGATTGAATTAGCAAAGGATAGTATGAATTAAATGAAGAATTTTCAATATTTGCGTGGCAATTTTCAAGAAATACTACGTCACGGCTGACTATTATTTTATTGTCACTTGGGTCAAATAATCGATACGCTTTACTTTCCGTGCTGTATCCAACCATGATACATTCTGATGACTTTGGATCAATCTTAGACCTCCGTTGTTTTGGTACATGAACCATAGCTGGGCATCCGAAAACTCTGAGATGCTTTAAATTTGGTTTTCGGCCCGACCATAATTCTTCGGGACAAATTTCATTTCCCCGGCATGGAACTCTATTTATCAAGTACGATGCGGTAGAAGCAGCTTCTGCCCAAAAACGTTGATCTAATCCACAGTCAATAAGCATACATCTTACCCGTTCTATAATCGTTCTATTTATTCGCTCGCCTACGCCATTTTGCTCGGGAGTGTATGGACATGTTTTTTGGTGTATTATTCCACTTTTTTCCAAAAATTCAGAAAAATGTTTGCCGGTATACTCGCCTCCATTATCCGATCGTAGAATCTTGATTTTCTTAGAACACTGGTTTTCCACTAATGCTTTGAATTCCAAAAATTTTGGAAATACATCTGACTTTTTCTTGATTGGATAAACAAACAACTTTCTTGAATAATCATCCACAAAAGTCAACAAAAAACGAGCTCCCGAGAACGAGCATTCTTTTAATGGACCAACCACATCCGTATGAACAATTTCCAATAACTCTTTGGCTCGAGTACCGACTTCTCTGCTTACTTTTCGTGTTTGCTTTCCCTTAACGCAGACAACACATGGTTCTGAACATTCTTTTCCGAAATTTATGCCAACATTTGCGGTCTTGACATTACCTAATTTCGCATTACAAATATGACCCATCCTTCGATGCCATATATTGAAGTCGTTGACCAGAGTAAACGCCTTACCCTTTTCCTCGTTGGATTTGCAATCTAACCGGTACAATTGATTTTGTGTACTTGCCGTTGCTATAACACGTCCATTTTTATCAGAAATGCAGCATTTGTCACCTTCAAAAGTTACCTTTTTGCCATTCTTAGCCATTTGCCGAACAGAAAGTAAGTTGGTACACAAACCTGGAACATACTCCACGTCTTTGATTGTAACACACTTCTTATTTTTTCCAGAACCAACTTCAATGTCAACATCGCCAATGGAGTCTACTGCAAGTTCATTTTTATCCGCAATAATTACCTTTTTATTTACAGCATCGCGAATGTTGTACATGCGGTTCTTCTCGTTCGTCATGTGGTTGCTTGCTCCACTATCAAAGTACCAGGCATTCGAGCAGTCTGAACTTGTAGCTTTTGCACATGTGCTCGCATCAGCACTTGAAGCAAACAAAACATCCGATTTCTTTTCATGTTTCATTGTAGCTCCATTACCATTTGACTTCGATTTAGTAGGACAATTTCTAGAGATGTGTCCTAGTCCACTGCAATTGTAGCATTTTATTTGCTTCTTACCTTTCTTGAAACCTTTAGATTGTAACGCCGATTCTTTTTCTGAAGCCCGATCAAATTTCGCATCTTGAAGTAGAACATTTTTCACCTTATCCACCGTCAATTTCTCCTTGGTATTTTCCACAGCCATCACAAGCGGTTTAAAGTCGTCCGTTAATCCTGCTAACATTAGAGATGCGGTCAACTCATCGTCAATGTTCAAACCAGCATTTTTGACTTTAAGAGCCACTATTACGATGTCATTGACGTATTCTTGAATGGATCCATAGTTCTGTAACTTGATGTTCACGAATTGCTTCAGCAGTTCAACTTTTCTGGTTAGCCCCGTATCTTCGTATGCATTCATCAATGCACCCCAGGCATCTTTCGCGGTAGTTGCAGTTGCAATGTGACCATAGTTGTCTGGTTCAATCATCAGTGTAATTTCGGCCAATGCCCTCGCATTCAAATCAGCATCAGCCGCATTATCAACACAGGCTTTCCAGCATCCTTTAATTACCAGATATGATTGCGCTTGCCTCTTCCAAACGTCAAAGTTTTCACGTCCACGCAATTTTTCTAGCGGAAAAGCTACGTTATTACCAGCCATTATAAATCGAATTCCAACGTCACAAATTTTCAATATGAAAAAAATGTGTATGTATCTATTTTTCAGAATATTTTTTCCTAACGTGACTAAGGCCCATAACCTATTATGATTGAATTCGTTTATTGAACTAAAACAGAAAATGAGAATACACACTCGAGTAAAACATATTGATACCAAAGCATACTGAGATTAGGCAAATAATAATAAACAAAGTGTTTTATGCTAAAGTACAATATTTGATTCAATTCTCAACAATTTGGAAACAATTTTTTTTTCTTAAAAAAGTAGTTGTATACAAAAATAAACCACTTCACATAAAGAAAAAAAAAATAAACTTGGGACAATTTATTATTAGCCGTAACGGGGGAAAAATATTACATTACTATAATGAAAGAAAAAATTGAAATACCTAAATTAATAATAATAATAATATAAAAAAGAACCTTATAATAACTAAAAAAAGAAAAATAAAATTGAAATTGAAAAATTAATTATATTAAGCCGCCATTAAGGTGTTTTCAATTATCAGGGCCCTTGATAAGTTGCGGGCACAGGCTAAACGTAATAAATTAATGATTTCTTCAATATTTTCGATGCGATAATCTTTCAGGATATTAACAGGTTCCTGTAATAAAAAAGATCGAAAAATTAGAAAGGGATTTTTCTAGAAAACTAAATTGAGTGGATCAGCCTCTACTTACATCTGGAAATTTCTCTAGGCGTTTCTTTTTCTTTTCAATCAGCGGCACCAATTCCGATTCCAGGTGATGTAAAATGGCTGTGGTTTCCTTGGAAAGTATTTTGGGATCTTTGGATTCCAAAAGGGGAATGGTATCGATTAGCAGAGAGGGCCAAAAGCTAAGAAAAAAAAGAAAAGCAAAAATAAATTAAAAAAAATAAGTTGAAAAATGGGCCAGACCCTTAAAAATATTCTATAATAAATCCACGCCTTGGATGGACCCCTAAAAATATGCTTTAATAAATACACGTCTTGTATAGACCCCTAAAAATATGCTTTAATAAATAAACGTCTTGTATAGACCCCTAAAAATATTCTATAATAAATCAACGATGATGGACCCCTAAAAATATGCTTTAATAAATACACGTCTTGTATAGACCACTAAAAATATTCTATAATAAATCGACGCCTTGTGTAGGCCCCTAAAATTATTCTTTAATAAATTTACACATTGTATAGACCCCTAAAAATATTCTACAATAAAAAAATATTCTCTAATAAATCCACGCCTTACATGGACCCCTAAAAGAATATTCTTTAATAAATCCACGCCTTACATAGACCCCTAAAATATTCTTCAATAAATCCTCGTCTTATATAGACCCCTAAAAATATTCTTTAATAAATCCACACTTTGTATAGACCCCTAAAAATATGCTCTAATAAATCTATGCTTTACATATAGACCCCTAAAAATATGCTCTAATAAATCTATGCTTTACATATAGAACCCTAAAAATATTCTTTAATAAATTCAAGCCTTGTATGGGCCCTGAATATATTCATTAATAAATTCACGCCTCATTTAGACTCCTAAAATATTCTTTAATAAATCCATGCCCTGTATAGACATCTGAAAAATCTTCTTTAATAAATCGACGTTTTGTAGGGACCCCTAAAAATGTTCTATAATAAATCTACGCCTTATATAGATCCCTAAAAATATGCTTTAATAAATCTACGTCTTATATAGACCCCTAAAAATAAACTTTAATAAATCCACGTCTTGTATAGACCCGTAAAAATATTCTATAATAAATCGACGTCTTGTATAGACCCCTAAAAATATGCTTTAATAAATCCACGTCTTGTATTGACCCATGAAAATATTCTTTAAGAAATCCACGCCTTATATAGACCCCTAAAGAAATTCTATAATAAATCCAAGTCTTGTATAGACCAATAAAAATATGCTTTAATAAATCCACGCCTTATATAGACCCCTAAAAATATTCTTTAATAAATCTATGCATAAAAAATATTCTTTAATAAATCCACGCCTTATATAGACCCATAAAAATATTCTTTAATAAATCCATGCATAAAAATATTCTTTAATAAATCCACGTCTTTTAGAGGTTCCTGAAGATATTCTTTAATATACCCAAGCCCTGAAAATATTCTTGAATGCACCCACGCCTCATGTGGATACCTAAAAATGTTCTCTAATAAATCCAAGCCTCTTCTGGTCGTCAAAATAAAATATTATCCTTAAAGACCTCTACTTACTATTCTGGGGTTATTTTCGAATCCAATAAATTCACCAACAACTCGGCAGCGGGTAGGAAATCACGTTTCCTATAGAATTGATAAAAATCGAAATATTTTACCAAGAATACCAATCGGGGGGAGATAAACATTTTGGCACCAATATTTGCAATGATATCTGGACAAAGCATATCACCGGTTTTGGCATAATGCTGCAAACGAAAACAAGGTATCAAAAATTAAATAACAAAAAAAAAAAACAAACTTGAAATTATGTTTACCTACCTTCAAAAGAAAATCAGCAATCGATGTTACATATAGTGTATCCTTTGAACGTATAGCCCATTCCAAAGCATTACCATAACGTTCATCATCCAATGACTGTTTGGCTTGTATTTTACATATTTCCTGTTCGGCATTAGGGAAACCCATTTTATGACAAATTTCCAAAATTTTCATTGCTTGTTTTTCCGTTTTAATTGGGATTTTCGTAAGACATAATTCCAATGCTGGCAAACCTTCTTCCGAACAAAATTGTAAATAATCCATACCCAATTGCCACAAAGAATTGCGTGTCATTAAAGTGCTACCGAATTCATAAAGCAACGAATCTCGTAACTTTATGCAATCACTAAAAATAAAAACAATATATTACAATTCCAAAAAAGAAAATTAAATAGGAATTTACTTCATTTGATGTTCTCCCACAACCTGCAGCTGACCACAATTGTATAGCAAATCCGTTAAATGTGTGACAAACCATTGATTATCGGCCATCAGCTGTATGGCATGGATAACCTGATGCATATCATTTTCCATTAGACTCAATATGACCTTATCCAAATGTTTTAATTGTGGTTCGTTGCCCTGCTGGGTTTTCATGCGAGCCCAACGATCCAGCCATGAATTGGCTGCTGTACCCAATTCAAAATGTTTACACGCCGGATTGGTATAGAATAAATATCCCGGTAAGTATTCATACCAATAATCAGAATTATCTATGTGTGCATTCCAGGTTTGTGTATCACCAATTATCAATTGCACCAATTCTTCTAGATTGGGTTCAATTGCCAAGATATTGGCTGACAATTTACGTTCGGTATCGGTTAACCAATACTGCCATTGTGAGCGGAATTTTTGTATGGAAAAACCACCATAGACCTGTAACAAAAATTTAGATGTTAATAATTGAATTATATAAGCATATCATTTGCATTACTTACATTAAAAGTTGGCATTGCCTTCAAAATCTGTTCGGCCATTTTAAAGGCTGCACTTTCCGCCTGCGGATGTGACTGTAATATGGCTCGCGCCACATCAACTTGCCCCTGCAGAATTAAACCCTTCAATGCTGGCCAATATTCTTCACTATCACTGGCATCACGACCCATTAGCAGCAAATCCGTTGCCATACGTTCGGCAGCGGGAAAATGAAAACGTACCCATTCCAACAGCTGTGGTACAATAACATTTGATGGTGTCTGATCCAAAAACAAGATTTCACTTAGATGCCAAACACATTCAATGGAATAGAATATGGAAATATATTGTTGATACATATCATGTTCTTTGGTGCCCTCCTCCGCCAAACCAGCAGCATCTTGCAGTTTTTCCAAACAAGCTCGTATAATACTACGATATGTTCGTGATATTTTTGTATAATCTGCCTTGGAACCTTTCCTTTTAAGGGACTGTAGAGCAACGAATGTGGAATTGGCTTCTGCTATAAGGCTACGCAGTATGGGATCATCGAATATGAACTCGGGTTGTAGCAGATGAATTTGTACTGTGTCTTTACCGGCATAATCTGTGGGCTTGTCTCGTGTACTGGCAGTGATTGGGCGATAGGCGTGTACGGCAATTTTACTGCCACACACAAATTGTCCCGCCAATGTGTTGCCATATCGAGTGCTGAGTGGATCAACAATGCCCTGAAATTAGGGAAATTTATTAGTTTCCTTTGGAATATATTAAAAAATATGATAGCCCCTCATGCCATTTGGCATTATCCCGCCAAATTTATAGCAATCCTTAAAATTTGTCATATTTGTTGAAACATGTCCTTATTTCCGTGCATATTTACTTACAAATACTGCAACCTGCTCGTCTTCCATTGTATTTTTTATTAATTGTTTAATATTTAAATATAATTTGCGATAAAAAAGTTGCTGCAAAATGCCTTTTTCTTGTTTACTGTTATAGTGATCTATAGATCGATTTTGCTCTTACCGGTCAATGTGTGTAAGAGTTCACTAGATCTATTTTGAGCTATCTCCGCTATTCACAATATATCACTATTGCCACGCATTCTAAATAAAGGAGCCATCAAAGAAATCAATGAGACAAGGGGAGAGAATGATAACAGCTGACAAATATAACATAAGCGATGCTATTGTGAATGATTATTCAATTAGGTTTTTCGTTTGTTTGGGAAGTTTTGGAATTAAAGGCGATAATGATATTAATAAATATATAAATAAAATAAAAAAAATAAAAATAAATGTCACATGCAAGAATATATGTATTTGCAATATCCAGAGCAACATATGTATGAAAACTGCCATACATTCTTAATAAAGGAGCCATTAACGAAATCAATGAAACAGGGAGAGAGAGAGAGAATAACAACAGCTGACAAAGTTAACATGAGTAACGTTATTGTGAATGGTCACTGAATTATTTTTTGATTGTTTGGGGAGTTTTGGTATCTAAGCCGGCAATTAATTTCTAAAATAAATTAAACTAATAAACAAATAACATAATAAAACAAAACATGTCACACACCTCGACAAATATGCAAGAGCGCCTGGATCAGTTACAACAACTACACAAAATGTGCCGGCAAGAGTTATTCCAATTAAAAACGAATGTGGAACACTATTTGCAATCCAGCTCGAACATGGTCCGAATGGTGGAGAACCATTGGTCAGAAGTTGAGCGAGGTGGTGGTTTGGCGTTGATGATCTATGACAATTTCCTAACGAGTATAACAAATGTTATGAATTTGGCAAGAAAATTTAATTTGCAATTGCAGCTAAATCATGGCGAAGACAAACATAAAATGATGGAAATGTTTGGAATTAAACCAGATGACCGCAAGGATGAGTTGGTGGTGGAGGAGGAGGTGGTGGTGGAAAATAGTAATACCAAATACGAAATATCGAAATCAGACAGGGAATCTGAATTGAAACGCATAGATTTTATACAAAATTACAATAAATCGATATATCCGGCTGAGGAGATATGCAACAACAATAACAACACTAATGCCGATGAAGAAGGAGAATTTCTTTATCCTCAAGAAAATCTCTCAACTATTTATACCCCTGGCCAAACCATTAAAGCTTTTGTAACCTATCTTAAGGATGTGGAAAATTTAGAATTTTATATTTTCGATTTTCAATCAAAATATGTGGGTATTATTAATGAAGTAGCTCATGCCTTGGATTTGCGGCAATACCACCATCTACCCCCGGTCAATGAGGTATTTGGTTTGGTACTGGACAAACGTATTTTGAGAGCTGTGCGTTCCCCGAAAATCCTCTATGACCAAGAGCTGGAAGAACAGATATACCCTTGCTATCTATTGGATTTTGGAGAAATTGAAAATATGAAAATGCATGATATTAAATATCAACTCAATGAAGAACAACAAAATGTACCCGCATTGGGTATATTATGTCAAATGGCCCGAGACTCTTCCAAGCTTCCAGAAAAACTCAAACATTTAGAATATCAACAATGTGATTTGAAAATAATTGAGATTAAGGAGAATAAACTTATTGTTGAATTCAGCACAAATGATGAGACAAAAGCAACAATAACAAATGCATCGAACAAATTACAAAATTTACAAATAACGGAAACCAATCCCTTTCGCCAACAAACCAAGGTGGCGGCAGAGGAACAAACTCAAAAAACAAAGGAGCTTACCCGCGAAGAACTGCAAATTCTCTACGATGATCCATTGTTGTGTACCAGTAATGCCTTAACCGCGGTTATGGGTTATAATCCCAAAGATGAGCAACGTCTGTGTCGTTTCTATGATCCCAAAACGGGCGCCTGCTTTAAGGGCTCAACGTGTAAACAGGAACATCAACCCCTGAATCCCGAAGGCTATACCAAAGATCTAATACCCGCCACCTCATTTGTTGATACACGTACCGCCATGGTAGTATATCCCAAAGATGCCATAATTAGTATTACACCCACCCACATTGGCCAAATATCCTCATTTTATTGTCAAATCAATGATGTTCATCATAATAACACCCCGCTCATTTGGAATGATGAAGATATTCCGGCATGGAAACGTTTGGAAAGGCCACCACATATCTATGAATTGGTTCTGGCCCGCTATGATGATGGTAATTGGTATCGGGCGAAAATAATATCCCATGATGATGATTATAAAATGTTTAAGGTCTTCTATGTGGACTATGGCAATCATCAGTTGGTGCATTTAAGGAATTTGGCAAAGTGTGATACGGGTATGGCTCAAATACCATTTCAAGCGATTATCTGTCGGCTAGCCAATGTTAGGGAAATTCAAATGCCAGCACAACAGAAAAAGCCAGCCATTGAAAAGTTGTGTGGTGCTCTGCTAAATCAAACATTGGATGTAAGGGTAATCGCGCATCATGAGGATTTATTTATCGAATTTCTCGATGACACATATTTATGTTTGTTGGATTGGCTTAAGGTAGAGGGTTATGTGGAGGTTCAGTAGAATGGAAAATTTTTATTTTAATTGAATTTACATAGATTTTTACATTCAATATTTTTATTGTCTTGACTGATTATCTTTTTGATTAGTTTTTTTAAGTTATTAATGAATTATAATTTTTTTAATTTTATTTATCAAAACACTTTTCATGTATGTATTTAATTTTAGTTTATTTTAATAAACAATTCGAATTTAAATGGAAAATATTCACATATTTATATTAAAACCAGTAAGGAAAGTAGAAAAGTCGGGCGGGGCCGACTATATGATACCCTTCACCACTTTGGGTATATTCAACAGATGAATGCTAATAGACGTCGAATTCTGCAACCTATACTAAATTTTTCATTTGTTCAGATATACGGTTGCTTCTTACAATGGGACAAAATTACCAAAACTCGGCAGAAAATATATATAGAAGCTCTATCAAAATCTGAACCGATTTCTACACTTTCCAAATTTCAAAACTTTAGTACGTTGTGCAAAATTTGTGTCAATTTTGTGTAAAATTGGACGAAAATATATATGTAGAAGCTATATCAAAATCTGAACCGATTTCAATGAGAATGGCAGAGATTATCTTATATTAACTTCTGTATTGTACTTAATTGTGTGGCAATCGGACAAACTTTGGGTCTTTAGTGCACAATTTACATAAAATCGGAAGCAAAAATATATAGGAGCTATATATAAATCTCATTTCACTTAAATCTCCAGACTCATTTTAGTACACTATGCCAAATTTTGTGCAAATCGAAATATGTATAGGGACTTCGGTACACTATTTACATTAAATCGGACGAAAATTTATATAGGAGCTATATTTAAATCCAAACCGATTTTCGAGAAACTTAACGTGCACTATTCTAGACTTAATTAAGTACGATATGCCAAATTTCGTGCAAATCGAAGGATATATAGGGACTTTGGTACACCATTTACCTTAAATCGGACGAAAATATATATGGGAGCTATATCTAAATCTGAACCGATTTTCAGCAAACTTAACACACATAAATCTAGACCTAATCCATTTCGCTATGCCAAATTTCGAGCAAATCGAAGGATATATAGGGACTTTGGGGCACCATTTACATCAAATCGGACGAAACTATATATGGAGCTATATCTAAATCTGAACCGATTTTCTCGAAACTTCGCAAACATCACTCAAGGCTTAATTTAATACGTTATGCCAAATTTCGTGCAAATCGAAAGATATATAGGGAATTTGGGGCACCATTTACATGAAATCGGACGAAACTATATATGGGAGCTATATCTAAATCTGAACCGATTTTCTCGAAACTTGGCAGACATCACTCTAGGCTTAATTTAATACGTTATGCCAAATTTCGTGCAAATCGAAAGATATATAGGGACTTTGGGGCACCATTTACATGAAATCGGACGAAACTATATATGGGAGCTATATCTAAATCTGAACCGATTTTCTCGAAACTTGGCAGACATCACTCTAGGCTTAATTTAATACGTTATGCCAATTTTCGTGCAAATCGAAATATATATAGGGACTTTGGGGCACCATTTACATGAAATCGGACGAAACTATATATGGGAGCTATATCTAAATCTGGACCGATTTTCACGAAACTTGGCAGACATCATTCTAGACTTAAATGATTACGCTGTACCAAATTTCGTGCAAATCGAAAGATATATAGGGACCGTTTACATTAAATCGGTTAAATATATATATGGGAGCTATATCTAAATCTGAACCGATTTTTCCCAATTTCAATAGGGTTCGTCATTGGGCCGAATAAGTGACCTATGCCAAATTTCATCCAATTCGGATCATAAATGCGACCTGTACTTTGTTTACAATTTAACATGGACAGACAGACGGACGGACGGACAGACGGACGGACGGACGGACATGCTTAAATCGACTTAGAAAGTGATTCTATGCATATTCTCAAAAGGAACCATGTGTCTATCTCGTTTCCTTTTGCCTGTTACAAACATATGCACAAAGACATAATACCCTGTACCACAGTGTGGTGAAGGGTATAAAAAAACGCTCTTGATAATTTAAGTTCCCATTGGATAGCAAATCTCCTTACCAAATCGACATCGGTCTACTTTTGAGGATAGCCCCCATATAACAGTACCCCCAAATATTCTGTATTATAGGGAATTTTGGTACTTTTTTGGGTTCTCATTGGCCAGCAAATCTACCTACCAAAAATTTACTATATCGGTTCACTTTTGAGGATAGCCTCCACATGACGATACTCTAAAATTTTCTGGATTTTGGGGATTATTGTCATGTTTTTCAACCGAATTGGATGTAATATGGTTTCCCATTGGCTAGCAAATCTTCCTATCAAACATTTACGATATCGGACCACTTTTGAGGATAGCTCCCATATAACCGTACCCCCAAATATTCGGTCTTTTGGGGAATTTTGGCACTTTTTTCTACCGATTTGGCTGTAATTTGATATTCCGAGTTCCAATCTACAAAAAATTTACGATATCGGTTCACTTTGAGTATAGCCCCACATAACAATACCCTAAATTTTTCGGAATTTTGGGGGTTTCTGTCATGTTTTTCAATCGAATTGGCTGTAATGTGGTATTTTGAGTTCCCATTGGGTGGTAAAGCTCCCTACCAAAAATTATCGATATCGGTACACTTTTGAGGGTAATCCCCATATAAAGGTACTCCAAATTGTTCGGTATTTTGGCAATTTTTGGTACTTTTTTAACCGATTTGGATGTAATTTGAAATTCCGAGTTCCAATTGGGTAGCAAATCTCCTCTACAAAAATGATCTACATCGGTCCACTTTTGAGGATAGCTCCCATATAACGGTACACTCTATTATTCCGAATTTTGGGGAGTTTGGCAAGTTTTTCAACCGAATTGGCTGTAATTTGGTATTTTGAGTGTCTATTGGGTAGCAAATCTCCTCACTAAAATTTATAGATATCGGCCCACTTTTAAGGATAGCCCTCATATAACAGTAACTCCGTTATTCGGAATTTTGGGGATTTTTCAACCGAATTGGCTGTAATTTTGTACTTTGAGTTACCATTGGGTAACAAATCTACCTACAAAAAATGATCGACATTGGTCTACTTTTGCGGATAGCCCCCATATTGCGAATAGCTCTATTGTTCGGATTTTTGTAATTTCATATTTAGAGTTCCCATATCCACACTAAAAATTATCCATATCTTTTTACTTCTTAAGCAGCCCGCATATAAAGGTACCCCAGAATATTCGGTATTTTTGGGCATATTTAAGTTTCGTGTAAACCCCATATTATTTATTGAATTGAATATTTCCAATTTCTTTCTTTAAAATACACATTTAAAAACAATCATCAATATATGGCAATGCATTATTGCAATATTGCCACACCGACCATGCCTTCCAACCCTGCTCCCTTAAGATTAAGCGGGCACATTGTAAATCTGCAGCAATGCTATCCGACAGCAGGTCATTACAGTTGATTTTACACAAATTATGACTGAAGGCGCCACTGGGTGGTGCACACCAATATTTATCGTTTATTTGAAAGATACCATAATCATGAGAACCATCCCAATTGGGCGGACCAACAGCATAACTATTATAGGTCGATTCTCGCTCGGCAATACAAATCCAGCTGGACAGCTCATAACGGGGTACACCCAAGATCTGTAGTTCTCTGGCCAATGAACAGCGATCGTAGATTCTTGCTTCGGCAATAGGAGCCAGGCCAATGGCGGCTGCAATTAGAAGGAAGGCTATTGGCGATTTCCACATCATTTTTTTCCGATTGATGTGTGATGTGTTGCTGTTTCCGATTGCTGACTGGGGGTTTATGTTGTAGCTCTTTGGCCTGCAGGCTTTTTTATAGCAAAAAATTGCTATGCTTGGTGGTACTGGGTAATTTTTTTATTGTTTGTATTTTTTTTTGGTTTTTATGTGGGTGGTGGGAGGAAATCCCAAAAAATAAACTCCCACTAGCTTATCAATTTTTGTGTAGCATAGTTTCCAACAGTGCACGACCCAGCATGAAAACATTGTTATGTTAAACTCTAGTCTATGTTCAGGGCACAATGACTTCTGAGGGGCATAGTTTATTTGCCAAGTTTCCCAAAAAATATTTTTCAAAGACCACAAGAGCCGTGGATTTATTAAAGACTATTTTTTCCAAGACCTGCATAACTCAGATTTATTAAAGAATATTTTTCCCAAGACCACAAGAGGCGTGGATTTATTAAAAAAATATTTTTCAAAGACCACAAGAGGCGTGGATTTATTAAAAAAATATTTTTCAAAGGCCTCAAGAGGCGTGGATTTATTAAAAAAATATTTTTAAAGACCACAAAAGGCGTGGATTTATTAAAAAATATTTTTCAGGGACCACAAGAGGCGTGGATTTATTAAAAAATATTTTTCAGGGACCACAAGAGGCGTGGATTTATTAAAAAATATTTTTCAGGGACCACAAGAGGCGTGGATTTATTAAAAAATATTTTTCAAGGATCAACTAAGGCGTGGATTTATTAAAAAATAGTTTTCAAGGATCAACTAAGGCGTGGATTTATTAAAAAATAGTTTTCAAGGATCAACTAAGGCGTGGATTTATTAAAAAATATTTTTCAAGGACCATAAGAGGCGTGGATTTTTTAAAGAATATTTTTTCAAAGACCATAAGAGGCGTGGATTTATTAAAAAATATTTTTCAAAGACCATAAGAGGCGTGGATTTATTAAAAAATAGTTTTCAAAGATCACAAGAGGCGTGGATTTATTAAAAAATATTTTTCAAAGACCACAAGAGGCGTGGATTTATTAAAAAATAGTTTTTCCAAGACCATAAGAGGCGTGGATTTATTAAAAAATATTTTTCAAAGACCATAAGAGGCGTGGATTTATTAAAAAATAGTTTTTCCAAGACCTGCAGAGATCCAATCTGCAGAACTCAGATTTATTAAAAAATAGTTTTTCCAAGACCTGCAGAGATCCAATCTGCAGAACTCAGATTTATTAAAAAATAGTTTTTCCAAGACCTGCAGAGATCCAATCTGCAGAACTCAGATTTATTAAAAAATAGTTTTTCCAAGACCTGCAGAGATCCAATCTGCAGAACTCAGATTTATTAAAAAATAGTTTTTCCAAGACCTGCAGAGATCCAATCTGCAGAACTCAGATTTATTAAAAAATAGTTTTTCCAAGACCTGCAGAGATCCAATCTGCAGAACTCAGATTTATTAAAAAATAGTTTTTCCAAGACCTGCAGAGATCCAATCTGCAGAACTCAGATTTATTAAAAAATAGTTTTTCCAAGACCTGCAGAGATCCAATCTGCAGAACTCAGATTTATTAAAAAATATTTTTCAAAGACCACAAGAGGCGAGGATTTATTAAAAAATATTTTTTCAGAGACCTGCAGAGATCCAATTTATTAAAGAATATTTTTTCCAAGACCTCCAGAGCTCAGATTTATTAAAGAATAGTTTTTCCAAGACCTCCAGAGCTCAGATTTATTAAAGAATAGTTTTTCCAAGACCTCCAGAGCTCAGATTTATTAAATAGTTTTTCCAAATCCTGCAGAGATCCAATCCGCAGAACTCAGATTTATTAAATAATACTATTCCCTAAACCCCCAGAGATCCAATTTATTAAAGAATATATCTTCCTAGATCTGCAGAGATGCAATTTTTTAAAGAATATTCCTTCCAAGACCCCCAAAAGCATTGTTATTTTAAATACTTCCCCAAAATATCATATCCCATATTTATATTTAATTATATTGAAAACAATTAACCCCATTAAAAAAATATCGTTTAATTCCATTCATTTATTCAAAATTTATTCAACACTTTTCCAGTTTAGAAACAATCATCAATGCTGGGCAAAGTACCATCACAGTATTTCCAGGTGGACCAGGCAGTCCAGCCTTGTTGTTTCAACACCAATTGGGCACACTTAACGGAGGGTTCAATGCTATCGACCAAAAGGCTATCACACTTAATTTTACATTCATCATAGGAGAAGGCACCATTGGGTGGCTGACACCAGTATTTGTTATTAATCTGGAAGATACCATAGTCGCGGGAGCCATTCGAATTCAAAGAGCCAACAGCTTTGGTATTGTAATCAGATTCATGTTTGGCAATGCAGGTCCAACGGGCCAATTGATCCTTGGGTACACCCAATTTGTACATTTCCCGGGCCAAAGAGCAGCGGTTGTAAACCTCACCCAAGGCGGGGCCGACCAAAAGGACAGCAGCCAAAACAGCAAAGGTTAATTTGAACATTTTTCTAATTTTTTGTGTTAGAAGTTCGGAAAACGACTATGCTTTTCAAACAGCATACATGGGGTTTTTATATCATTATTTCCCTTAGGTAGATATTGGTCTGAATTTATCGACAAATGTTCGCATATCTTTGTTGAATGTGATAAGAATACGAAATTTGGGTATTTAAAAAAAATGATAAATTACCTATTCCTTTATCTGATTATCTTAATTAATATTAATTATAATAGATTGATAATTTAAAAAAGATTTTGCAAGGAATTTTTTGTTATTTTGGTCCACAACAATAACAAAAAATTTTTTCACAGAATTTCAAAATTTACCCAATTTTATCATATTTTGTGTAACAATTTTCCAGGGGCCATAACTCTGCCAATAATTATCGGATTTTAATAAAATTAATGGATTTTGAAAGAATAAACTCTGATCTGAAAATAGAAATTATATTTAAATAAAATCTGCAAGCACACTTTTTGTTATTGTTGTGAATTACAAATTACCGGCTTAACTCTAGTTTAGTAAAAACGATCAGATTTTTCTGAAAATTTTTCCAGAGGTAGGTATTTTTACCCTAATTATGGGGATATCTTTTTTTCTTGGGGGACGTACCCGGTTACCCGGTTATTTGACCCGGAAGTTCGGGTACGGGTACCCGGTTATATCCGGTTCTACGGATCCGGTTAATATAATATGGGTATCATTTTAAAGGTTATAAAAATACCTTTCCATTGAGTGGTAATATGATGAGGTTATCTCAAACCATTTTGGAGATATAGTCAAAAAACTGTGTTTTGGTCCCCGATTTTTTTGAAAAACTCCCTAAAAGTCGAACTTGGGCCCATTATAGTACCTCTCTAACCCAAACTCAAATGATAGATCACAATTTGCCCTTTCCAAAATGGTGCGATATGTGGCTGTATCTGTTGTGGATCAAAAGATATGGGCCTTAGAACCCTACAAAAACAAGAAAATTCTGTCGCGTAGCCGGTGTTGGTATCTGTCCACAGGAGAAAGTCTTAAATCCCCGGCCGAAGGCCGGCTACACAAAAAATATTCTATTTAGAAGGATTTTCTGCCGCGTTAGCCGGTGTTGGCATCTGTCCATAGGAGAAAGTCTTAAATCCCCGGCCGAAGGCCGGTCACCCAAAAAAATATTCCATTTAACAAGAGATTCTGTCGCGTAGCCGGTGTTGGTAGCTGTCCATAGGAGAAAGTTTTAAATCCCCGGCCGAAGGCCGGCTACACAAAAAATTATTCTATTTAGAAGGATTTTCTGCCGCGTTAGCCGGTGTTGGCATCTGTCCATAGGAGAAAGTCTTAAATCCCCGGCCGAAGGCCGGTCACCCAAAAAACACCATGCTATTTAAAAGGAGATTCTGTCATGTAGAAAGATTTTCCTTGTTTTATAGGGTTCTAAGGCCCATATCTTTTGATCCACAACAGATACAGCCACATATCGCACCATTTTGGAAAGGGCAAATTGTGGTCTATCATTTGGGTACTGTTTAGAGAGGGACTATAATGGACCCAAGTTCGACTTTCAGGGAGTTTTTCAAAAAAATCGGGGACCAAAACCCAGTTTTTTGACTATATCCCCAAAATGGTTTGAGATAACCCCATCATATTACCACTCAATGGAAAGGTATTTTTATAACCTTTAAAATGATACCCATATTATATTAACCGGATCCGTAGAACCGGATATAACCGGGTACCCGTACCCGAACTTCCGGGTCAAATAACCGGGTAACCGGGTACGTCCCCCAAGAAAAAAATATATCCCCATAATTAGGGTAAAAATACCTACCTCTGGAAAAAATTTCAGAAAAATTTGATCGTTTTTACTAAACTAGAGTTGTTCCAAATTACCTTTTCTGTAGAATTTAAAACATGATCCATTTTGATGCTTTTCATTTTGCGTAACAATTTTCTGGGAGCCATAACGTAACCAATTATCACTGGATTTTCATAAAATCAATGGATTTTGGAAGAAGAATACTTGATCTAAAAATAGAAATTCTGATTTTGACACAATGTTCCTACCACCAACGATATCGGAAATGTTCCCTAGACACAAACCTTTTTCAATTATGTACCATTCTTTTTTGGTAACCATATTATGGGTAGTCTAACTTTTAAAGTAATCGGTAGAACTTAATGAAATAAATTGTTTTGGACAACAAAATATCTAACCTTAAATCACTGAAATTTATGAGAATATATCTCAACACATATCTGAGATATTGCCCAAAATGTAACATGACTAAACTTTTCTTCGATTCATGATATTTTGCGGTAACTATATTCCGACAACCATAACTTTCTCAATAGTGAACGGATTGGAATTAAATCAATTGATTTTGGAAAATAACACATTCATCTAAAAATAAAAATTACATTTTTGACATAGTTTTCATAATAGTTGAGATATTGCTCAAAATGTAACATGACTAAACTTTTTACGATTCATGACATATTCTCAGTAACCATATTCTGCCAACCACAACTTTGGCAATAGTACACGGATGGGAATAAAATCAATTGATTTCGAAAGAAGACATCCTCATCCAAAAATAGAAATTCAGATTTTGTCATAATGTTCCTACCACCAACGATATCCGGCATGTTCCCTAGACACAAACCATTTCAATTATGTACCATTTTTTTGGGTAACCATGTTGTGGGTACTCTAACTTTCAAAGTAATCGGTAGATCTTAATGAAATAAATTGTTTTTGACAGTGAAACATCTAATCTTTATTCCCTCAAAATTATGAGAATATATCTCATCACATATCTGAGATATTGCCCAAAATGTAACATGACTAAACTTTTTTCGATTCAAGACATATTTTAAGTAACCATGTTCTGACAACCATAACTTTGTCAATAGTGAACGGATTGAAATAAAATCAATTGATTTTGAAAAATAACACATTCATCTAAAAATAAAAATTAAATTTTTGACTTAGCTTTCATAATAGCTGATATATTGCCCAAAATGTAACATGACTAAACTTTTTACGATTCATGACATATTCTCAGTAACCATATTCTGCCAACCATAACTTTGGCAATAGTACACGGATGGGAATAAAATCAATTGATTTCGAAAGAAGACATCCTCATCCAAAAATAGAAATTCAGATTTTGTCATAACGTTCCTACCACCAACGATATCCGGCATGTTCCCTAGACACAAACCATTTGAATTATGTACCATTTTTTTGGGTAACCATGTTGTGGGTACTCTAACTTTCAGAGTAATCTGTAGATCTTAAATAAATAAAATGTACTGGACAACAAAATATCTAACCTTAAATCACTGAAAATTATGAGAATATAACTCAACACATCTCTGAGATATTGCCCAAAATGTAGCATGACTGAATTTTTTACGATGCACGATATTTTCCGGTAACCATATTCTGACAACCATAACATAAGCAATAGTACACGGATTGGAATAAAATCAATTGAATTTGGAAGATAACACCTTAGTCTAAAAATAAAAATTAAATTTTTGACATAGCTTTCATAATAGCTGAGATATTGCCCAAAATGTAACATGACGAAACTTTTTACGATTCAAGACATATTTTAAGTAACCATGTTCTGATAACCATAACTTCCTCAATAGTGAACGGATTGAAATAAAATCAATTGATTTTGGAAGATAACACATTCATCTGAAAATAAAAATTAATTTTTTGGCATAGCTTTCATAATAGCTGAGATATTGCCCAAAATGTTACATAACTAAACTTTTTACGATTCATGACATATTCTCAGTAACCCTATTCTGACAACCATAACATTGGCAATAGTACACGGATTGGAATAAAATCGATTGATTTCGAAAGATAAAGCATTCATCTAAAAATAAAAATTAAATTTTTGACATAGCTTTCACAATAGCTGAGAAATTTGGAAATTTCCACAATTACCAAACAAATGCAATTGTAGCGAATTTTGAACTTCTTTCATTCAAGAGGGAATAACTTTTGCTGTGCACATCGGAATTTTAATTTAATATTGGAATCTTGATAGATGACAGTTTGACCTTTAAAACGAGATTTTTTATGCTTACAAAACTGCTAAAATACCCAAGTTTTGGCCAAAAGTTTCCAAGACTCAATTTTTTTTAAAAACTACAATAATTGTAAGCTACTTTCATTCAGGAGAGTATATCTATTAATTTGAACATTGGAATGCTAATTTAATAAAACAATCGTGATAGACGGCAATCTAACCTTTAAAACAAAATATCTGACGTTTAAAACAAAATATTGTATACTAACATAGCTGCTAAAATACCCAAGTTACAGCCAAAAGCTAGCAAGACTCATTTTTCTCAGCAACTGGCAACTTCATAGGTAACAATATTCAGTGAGCTATAACTTTTAAACTACTCTTTGGATTTTAATGAAACAAAAAGTTATCGGTAGTTAAATGTTCATACTTGAAATCAATATAAAAATACAGCTTGCAAAATAATCAAATTCGAGAGTTATCGCCAAATGTACACAAAACGCTTAAATTGCCAAATTTGGTCAATTTCTCAGTAACTATCTTCCGAGGACCCTAACGTTTCGAAAATGCATTGTATTTAAATAAAATCAATGGATATCGAATGGATAACATTTAATTTAAAAATAAAAATTATATTTTTAATATATCTTTTGTATTACCGAAGATATGGGAAAATTAACAAAGAAACGAAATATTTATAATTTGTAAAAATTTCTCATACTTGTTTTCCAGAGGCTATAACTTTTTGATTAGGCATGGTATCTTTATAAAATCAATTGATTTTTATTAATAAATATCGTATTTTTATAATATATGTAAAATTTATCGATATATTTTGTGTAATACCAGAGTTATCGCAAGAAATTCCCGATACGCAAAAAATTCTGAAATTTTTGGTATATTTTGCGTAACAATGTTCTGAGGGCCATAACTTTGGCATTTATCAACGGATTTTAATAAAATAAACTGATTTTAATAGAAGAATACTTAAAAAAGATTATTCAAGAAATATACATTAATTTCTGTATATAACTTTTATAATACCTGAGATATGGGGAAAATTATCAAAATAACTCGATATTATTAATTTGCTAATTTTTGTTATAATCATTTTCAAAATGCCATAGCTTCTGATGTGGGCAAGGGATTTCCATAAACTATATTGATTTAGCGAAATAAATGTCTGATCTTTGAAATTAATATGCAATTTGTGGATATAACTGGTAAAATATCAGAGTTATGGTAAAAATTCTGTATTACTCAAAAATTGGTTATTTTGGGCCAATTTTGCGTATCAATGTTCTGATGGCCATAATTTTGGCACTTCTCGACGGTTCTCAATGAAATAAATTGATTTCTATAAAGGAATACCTTATCTAAAAATAGAAATTAATTTTTGGATATAACTTTTCTAATACCAGAGATATGGCAACATTACCAAAAGTACTCGATATTCTTAATTTTGTTCTATTTTGTAATACTCATTTTCACGAGCCAATAACTTTTAAATTATTCGCGATATCTCCATAAAATAAATTAATTTTAAGAAGAGAACATCTGATCTTTGAAATGCATACACAGTTTATGGATATAGCTGGCGTAATATCAGAGTTATAGCTAAAATTCCGCATTGCTCAAAAATGTTGCCATTTTTGGCAAATTTTGCGTAACAATCTTCTGATTATCATAATTTTGGAACCACTCAGTGTATTTGAATAAAATAAATTGATTTCTATAGAGGAATACTTGATCTAAAAATAAAAATTAATTCTTGGATATAACTTCTATAATACCAGAGATATGGAAAAATTGCGAACATTACTCGATATTTTTAAATTTTTGATTTTTCTCTTAGTCATTTTCAAAATGCTATAACTTCCGAAGTAGGAGAACCATATTGATGAAATGTGTTGGTGTTGAGAGAGGAACATCTGATCTTTCAGATGCATGTACAATTTGTAGATATAATTGGTAAAATATTAGAATTATTGATAAAAAAATTCCCATTACCCAAAAATTTGTAGTTTCGGGCATAATTTCCTTAACAATCTTCAGGAGGTCATAACTTTGACACTTTTCATTGGAAATATATATAATAAGTGGATAAAAATAGGATATAAATAAATATAGGATATAAATTATATTTTTTGATATAATATATAGGTACCGGTCCACACATCAGATTCAGGAAAAACCCGATTTATTCAAGAAATCAATTTTTTTATTTTATTTCATATTTACAAGAAAAGATTTAAACAAATTAACAAATTTCATTAAATAAAGCTAAAATTTAGCATACAACGACTAATTAAAAAAAACATCCATTTCAACTAACTACAATAAACCCGTACTTCCCGCTGAGGCAGCCGCAACAGCAGCGGCGCCCAACGTTGCTTGATTCAAATTATTACGACTCAATATTTGACGCATTGTTTGCAATTCGTCACGCATTGCCATAACCTGGGCTCTTAGCAGCGAGTTTTCCTGTTCCAAAAATGCAGCACGAAATGCAATACGATCTTCACGGATTTTTCGGGCATCCCGCGATTTCTTAGCCGCTTCATTATTACGCTTACGCCGTTCATAGTATTTGTCATCCTTTTGTTCATCTGGTATTGGGCGTTTTTCACCACGCGGTCGCCGATGTAAGAAGGATGGAAATATACCGCCACGATTCAGTTCCATGAGAGGGAAATCAACGGGACTTAGATTACGTGCTGCTGGGGTTAAGTACTCAAAGGCTGGCAATGAAGGCTGCATACTTCCCGTGGATCCGGGTAGTGGCAAAATATTGATGTTTGGTAAGCCAAGGCCGCCGGGAATTGCTGTTGATGACTGTTGTAAAAGGTTGGCTCCATTATCCCTCGGCGAATCTTGAGTTTTTGTTAGAGATTTTTCGGAACTTGTGGTTTCATTTTGTTGCAAACATGCAGCCAGCGAATTCTCCAATTCGGCAGGTATATGCTCCAAGGTAGAATTATCGATAACATCTAATATCGGTGATGTTGGTGGTGTCTTTGCCGTCTCATAGTTGTGATGTAAAATTGTATCCAATTGCGAGGGATTTACTTGTGGTCCATCCTTGAGTAGATTATAGTAGGGGGAGGGTTCTGAAAGGGGGGAAGAGAAACATAAAAAAAAATATTAAAAATTCGATAAACATTTAAAATTAATACATCGTTTACAAGGCGAAAAGTAATATTGTTAATAACAGTTGGAAGGGAATATGTTGGGCGCCACTTTATTATGAGGCCATATTTTGAAGAAAAAATATTAAAACCAGAATCTGAACTGATAATTTAACACCGTCGGAGGTTTATACACTATCAAATATTAAACAAAATCACATGCATGTTGCTTAAGTTATAGCCAAAAATTCTCTCTTTCGGTTACTTAGTAACTTTAATGGTAACAATGTTCAGTGAGCCATAATTTCCAAACTACTCGGTATATTTTAATGAAATAAAAATTTCTCGATAGTAAAATATTTAAAATTCAAATAAATACATAATTATTGGCATTAAATTAGCCATATTCAATAGATTTCACCAAATATTTGCAAAATTCATAAACTAGAAATTTGTATAATTTTTTCAGTAACCACACTCTGTGGACCATAACTTTTTCAAAATACATGCGATTTAAACAAAATCAATGGATATCGAAAGGAGAGGACCTAATCTAAAAATAAAAATTATAATTTAGATTAAACATTTGTAATACCAAAGATACGGGGAATTTACCAAAGGAACGGAACATTTTTAGTTTATAGAAATTTTTAATACTCGTATTCAAGAGTTCATAACTTTTTAAGTAGGCGTGGTATCGGTATGAAATAAATTTATTTGGTAAGAGGAGTTTCTTATTTTTAAAATATATGTGAATTTTTTTGATGTAGCTGATGAAATTCCGGAGTTATGGTTAAAAAATTTACAATACTCAAAAATTTGTAGATCTTGCTATATTTTGCGTAACGATCTTCTGGGGATCATAACTATGGTAATTCTTAGCGGATCTTAATAAAATAAATTGATTTTAATAGATGTGTGTTCTACCTAAAAATAAAAATTAATTTTTGGAATTATCACCTATAATACCATAGATATGGGTAAATTACTAAAATAGGTCTATATTTTTGATTTGCTAAATGTTTTCATACTCAAGTTCAAGAGAGCATAACTTTTGAATTAGGCATGATATCTCCATAAACTGAACTTATTTCGAAGAAGTAACATCTGAGATTTATAATATATATCAAATTTGTGGATATAGATGTTGAAATAACAGAGTTATAGCTAAAAATTTAGCTATACTCAAAAATTTGTTACTTTTGGTATATTTTTGCGTAACACTCTTCTGGAGGTCATAACATCGGCACTTCAAAATGGATCTGAATGAAATAAATTGAAATGGAAAGCTAAATATTCTAACTTAAAACAAAAATTAATGTTTTGATATAACTTCAGTAATATCAGAGTTATAGCCACCTCTTTCTATTGCTCAAAAATTTGCATATGCTTGCATGTTTTCGGTAACAAGCTTTCGCTGATCATAACATTAACACTTCTCAACAGATCTGAATGAAATAAATTGGAATAGAAAGCTAAGTACTCTATCTTAAAATAAAAATTAAGGCTTGGTAATAACTTGTGTAACACCAGAGTTATAGCCAAATATTTTTAATACTAAAATGTTGTATTTTCTTTGCATTTTTTTAGTAACATATTTCTGGAGGCCTTGATTTTGGAACCACTTAATGGATCTTAATGAAATAAAGTGGAATCGGAAGTTCTAGACTCTATATTAAAATAAAAATTAAGGTTTTGGCATAACTTCCGTAACAGTTATATAACATAACTTCCGTAAAGTTATGGTAAAAAATAATCAAAAATTGTTATTTCTTCTTCTTCTTTTAGTAACATGATTCTTGGTGCCATAACTTTGACAATTGTCAAGAGATCCTTATGAAATAAGGTGGGTTCGAAAGCTGGGTTCTTTATGGAAAAATAAAAAATAGGTTGTTGTTGTAACTTCCGTAACACCAGAATTATAGCCAAATATTTTCAATACTCAAAAATTGTCTTTTCTTTGCATGTTTTCAGTAACTGGTTTCCGGAGGCCATAACCTTGTTACTTCTCAATGGATCTTATTGAAATAAAATGGTGTCGAAAGCTCTATAATTTATCTTAAAATGAAAATTAAATTTTTGATATAACTTCCATAACACCAGAGTTATATCCCAAAATTTCCAATACTCAAAAATGGTAATTTCTTTGCTTATTTTACGTAACATGTTTCTGAAGGCCATAACATTGACACTTCTCAGCGGATCGAAATGAAATAAAGTGTATTCGAAAGTTAAATACTTTATGGAAAAATAAAAAATTATATATTTCATATAACTTCCGTAACACCGGAGTTATAGGAAAATATTTTCAATACTCAAAAATTGTCATTAGTTTGCATATTTTGCGTTACATGCTTCCGGAGGTCATAACTTTGAAACTACTTAACGGATCTTAATGAAATAAAGTGAAGGTGAAAGCTGAATACTTTATCTAAAAATAAAAATTAAGATGTTTTTATAATTTTCATAACACCAGAGTTATATTCCAAAATTTCCAATAATCAAACATATTAATTTTCTTGCTTATTTACAGTAAAAGGATTCCGAGGGCCATAACTTTGGCAAATCTGAACCGATCGAAATGAAATAAAGTGGAATCGAATGCTGAATACCTTATGTAAAAATAAAAATTAAGATGTTCATATAACTTCCATAACACCAGAGTTATATTCCAACATTTCTTATAGTCAAACATTTTAATTTCCTTGCATATTTTCAGTAACAGGATTCCGAAGTCCATAACTTTGGCACATCTGAACCGATCGAAATGAAATAAAGTGGATTTGAAAGCTGAACTCATCAGCTTAAAATAAAAATTATAGTGTTGATATAATTCCCATAACACCAGAGTTATAGCCAAAGTGGTCCAATATATAGCCAAAGTGGTCAAAAATTTGAATTTTCGTGCTTATTTCCAGTAACAGGATTCCGAAAGCCATAACTTTGGCACATCTGAACCGATCGAAATGAAATAAAGTGGATTTGAAAGCTGAACTCTTCAGCTTTAAATAAAAATTGAAGCGTTGATATAATTCCCATAACACCAGAGTTATATCCAAAGTGGGTCAATACCCAAAAAAAAAAAAAAAAAAAAAAAAAAAAAATAAAAAATCGACATATTTTGGGTAGCAATGTTCTGCAGGTCATAACTTGGGCACATCTTTACACAACTCTGAAATAAACTGCGTTCGAAAGAGAAACACTTTGTCTAAAATTCGTAATTATTGTTTTCTTATAGATTTTATAACACCAGAGGCATGACACAATTTTCAAAGGCACTTAATTTTATTTTTTACAAATTTTTCACAAATAGGTGTTAACGTTCCAAAATTTTCCACTTTTTATCTAATACATAAAAAAACAAGTATTTTCATACGATCCTCTGTATCCTTTCTTTTGTAATTTTTACCTGCATTCGGTGGCAGCATTAAACGATTTCGGGTACGCAAAAAATGAAATGTCGAAAAGGAGAATGGTTCCACTAGATTATTAAAATTCCTCTGATGTAAAGATGTATTGCACATAATTGTAATATTTTTTTCTATACTTCTTCACTTCAAAATAAAACCGTTATAATTTGAAAATTATATTTTTATTAACCGCCAAAAACTTGTTTTCTATTACCGTTACAAATCACGTCTCAATCATAACTGTTAGTGTTCCAAAAACTTCGGAAACCTTTACATATCTACGCAGTACAAAAGGATATACTAGGACACAAAAAAATCCTCCACCATTCATACATGTGGGAGGGTTATACGTTGCGTAGTTGACACCATACATATTTCCAATATAGGTTTTTGTACGTGGGTCTCTCACCCCTTTCCACGGTCTCTACCACAATAAATCCACGCCTCAGTTGGCCCTTGAAAAATATTCTTTAATAAATCCACGCCTCAGTTGGCCCTTGAAAAATATTAAATATTCTTTAATAAATCCACGCCTCAGTTGGCCCTTGAAAAATATTCTTTAATAAATCCACGCCTCAGTTGGCCCTTGAAAAATATTCTTTAATAAATCCACGCCTCAGTTGGCCCTTGAAAAATATTCTTTAATAAATCCACGCCTCAGTTGGCCCTTGAAAAATATTCTTTAATAAATCCACGCCTCAGTTGGCCCTTGAAAAATATTCTTTAATAAATCCACGCCTCAGTTGGCCCTTGAAAAATATTCTTTAATAAATCCACGCCTCAGTTGGCCCTTGAAAAATATTCTTTAATAAATCCACGCCTCAGTTGGCCCTTGAAAAATATTCTTTAATAAATCCACGCCTCAGTTGGCCCTTGAAAAATATTCTTTAATAAATCCACGCCTCAGTTGGCCCTTGAAAAAAATATTCTTTAATAAATCCACGCCTCAGTTGGCCCTTGAAAAATATTCTTTAATAAATCCACGCCTCAGTTGGCCCTTGAAAAATATTCTTTAATAAATCCACGCCTCAGTTGGCCCTTGAAAAATATTCTTTAATAAATCCACGCCTCAGTTGGCCCTTGAAAAATATTCTTTAATAAATCCACGCCTCAGTTGGCCCTTGAAAAATATTCTTTAATAAATCCACGCCTCAGTTGGCCCTTGAAAAATATTCTTTAATAAAACCACGCCTCAGTAGGCCCTAGAAAAATATTCTTTAATAAATCCACGCCTCAGTTGGCCCTTGAAAAATATTCTTTAATAAATCCACGCCTCAGTTGGCCCTTGAAAAATATTCTTTAATAAATCCACGCCTCAGTTGGCCCTTGAAAAATATTCTTTAATAAATCCACGCCTCAGTTGGCCCTTGAAAAATATTCTTTAATAAATCCACGCCTCAGTTGGCCCTTGAAAAATATTCTTTAATAAATCCACGCCTCAGTTGGCCCTTGAAAAATATTCTTTAATAAATCCACGCCTCAGTTGGCCCTTGAAAAATATTCTTTAATAAATCCACGCCTCAGTTGGCCCTTGAAAAATATTCTTTAATAAATCCACGCCTCAGTTGGCCCTTGAAAAATATTCTTTAATAAATCCACGCCTCAGTTGGCCCTTGAAAAATATTCTTTAATAAATCCACGCCTCAGTTGGCCCTTGAAAAATATTCTTTAATAAATCCACGCCTCAGTTGGCCCTTGAAAAATATTCTTTAATAAATCCACGCCTCAGTTGGCCCTTGAAAAATATTCTTTAATAAATCCACGCCTCAGTTGGCCCTTGAAAAATATTCTTTAATAAATCCACGCCTCAGTTGGCCCTTGAAAAATATTCTTTAATAAATCCACGCCTCAGTTGGCCCTTGAAAAATATTCTTTAATAAATCCACGCCTCAGTTGGCCCTTGAAAAATATTCTTTAATAAATCCACGCCTCAGTTGGCCCTTGAAAAATATTCTTTAATAAATCCACGCCTCAGTTGGCCCTTGAAAAATATTCTTTAATAAATCCACGCCTCAGTTGGCCCTTGAAAAATATTCTTTAATAAATCCACGCCTCAGTTGGCCCTTGAAAAATATTCTTTAATAAATCCACGCCTCAGTTGGCCCTTGAAAAATATTCTTTAATAAATCCACGCCTCAGTTGGCCCTTGAAAAATATTCTTTAATAAATCCACGCCTCAGTTGGCCCTTGAAAAATATTCTTTAATAAATCCACGCCTCAGTTGGCCCTTGAAAAATATTCTTAATAAATCCACGCCTCAGTTGGCCCTTGAAAAATATTCTTTAATAAATCCACGCCTCAGTTGGCCCTTGAAAAATATTCTTTAATAAATCCACGCCTCAGTTGGCCCTTGAAAAATATTCTTTAATAAATCCACGCCTCAGTTGGCCCTTGAAAAATATTCTTTAATAAATCCACGCCTCAGTTGGCCCTTGAAAAATATTCTTTAATAAATCCACGCCTCAGTTGGCCCTTGAAAAATATTCTTTAATAAATCCACGCCTCAGTTGGCCCTTGAAAAATATTCTTTAATAAATCCACGCCTCAGTTGGCCCTTGAAAAATATTCTTTAATAAATCCACGCCTCAGTTGGCCCTTGAAAAATATTCTTTAATAAATCCACGCCTCAGTTGGCCCTTGAAAAATATTCTTTAATAAATCCACGCCTCAGTTGGCCCTTGAAAAATATTCTTTAATAAATCCACGCCTCAGTTGGCCCTTGAAAAATATTCTTTAATAAATCCACGCCTCAAATCCACGCCGCAGTTGGCCCTTGAAAAATATTCTTTAATAAATCCACGCCTCAGTTGGCCCTTGAAAAATATTCTTTAATAAATCCACGCCTCAGTTGGCCCTTGAAAAATATTCTTTAATAAATCCACGCCTCAGTTGGCCCTTGAAAAATATTCTTTAATAAATCCACGCCTCAGTTGGCCCTTGAAAAATATTCTTTAATAAATCCACGCCTCAGTTGGCCCTTGAAAAATATTCTTTAATAAATCCACGCCTCAGTTGGCCCTTGAAAAATATTCTTTAATAAATCCACGCCTCAGTTGGCCCTTGAAAAATATTCTTTAATAAATCCACGCCTCAGTTGGCCCTTGAAAAATATTCTTTAATAAATCCACGCCTCAGTTGGCCCTTGAAAAATATTCTTTAATAAATCCACGCCTCAGTTGGCCCTTGAAAAATATTCTTTAATAAATCCACGCCTCAGTTGGCCCTTGAAAAATATTCTTTAAAAAATCCACGCCTCAGTTGGCCCTTGAAAAATATTCTTTAATAAATCCACGCCTCAGTTGGCCCTTGAAAAATATTCTTTAATAAATCCACGCCTCAGTTGGCCCTTGAAAAATATTCTTTAATAAATCCACGCCTCAGTTGGCCCTTGAAAAATATTCTTTAATAAATCCACGCCTCAGTTGGCCCTTGAAAAATATTCTTTAATAAATCCACGCCTCAGTTGGCCCTTGAAAAATATTCTTTAATAAATCCACGCCTCAGTTGGCCCTTGAAAAATATTCTTTAATAAATCCACGCCTCAGTTGGCCCTTGAAAAATATTCTTTAATAAATCCACGCCTCAGTTGGCCCTTGAAAAATATTCTTTAATAAATCCACGCCTCAGTTGGCCCTTGAAAAATATTCTTTAATAAATCCACGCCTCAGTTGGCCCTTGAAAAATATTCTTTAATAAATCCACGCCTCAGTTGGCCCTTGAAAAATATTCTTTAATAAATGGCCCTTGAAAAATATTCTTTAATAAAACCCCCGCCTCAGTTGGCCCTTGAAAAATATTCTTTAATAAATCCACGCCTCAGTTGGCCCTTGAAAAATATTCTTTAATAAATCCACGCCTCAGTTGGCCCTTGAAAAATATTCTTTAATAAATCCACGCCTCAGTTGGCCCTTGAAAAATATTCTTTAATAAATCCACGCCTCAGTTGGCCCTTGAAAAATATTCTTTAATAAATCCACGCCTCAGTTGGCCCTTGAAAAATATTCTTTAATAAATCCACGCCTCAGTTGGCCCTTGAAAAATATTCTTTAATAAATCCACGCCTCAGTTGGCCCTTGAAAAATATTCTTTAATAAATCCACGCCTCAGTTGGCCCTTGAAAAATATTCTTTAATAAATCCACGCCTCAGTTGGCCCTTGAAAAATATTCTTTAATAAATCCACGCCTCAGTTGGCCCTTGAAAAATATTCTTTAATAAATCCACGCCTCAGTTGGCCCTTGAAAAATATTCTTTAATAAATCCACGCCTCAGTTGGCCCTTGAAAAATATTCTTTAATAAATCCACGCCTCAGTTGGCCCTTGAAAAATATTCTTTAATAAATCCACGCCTCAGTTGGCCCTTGAAAAATATTCTTTAATAAATCCACGCCTCAGTTGGCCCTTGAAAAATATTCTTTAATAAATCCACGCCTCAGTTGGCCCTTGAAAAATATTCTTTAATAAATCCACGCCTCAGTTGGCCCTTGAAAAATATTCTTTAATAAATCCACGCCTCAGTTGGCCCTTGAAAAATATTCTTTAATAAATCCACGCCTCAGTTGGCCCTTGAAAAATATTCTTTAATAAATCCACGCCTCAGTTGGCCCTTGAAAAATATTCTTTAATAAATCCACGCCTCAGTTGGCCCTTGAAAAATATTCTTTAATAAATCCACGCCTCAGTTGGCCCTTGAAAAATATTCTTTAATAAATCCACGCCTCAGTTGGCCCTTGAAAAATATTCTTTAATAAATCCACGCCTCAGTTGGCCCTTGAAAAATATTCTTTAATAAATCCACGCCTCAGTTGGCCCTTGAAAAATATTCTTTAATAAATCCACGCCTCAGTTGGCCCTTGAAAAATATTCTTTAATAAATCCACGCCTCAGTTGGCCCTTGAAAAATATTCTTTAATAAATCCACGCCTCAGTTGGCCCTTGAAAAATATTCTTTAATAAATCCACGCCTCAGTTGGCCCTTGAAAAATATTCTTTAATAAATCCACGCCTCAGTTGGCCCTTGAAAAATATTCTTTAATAAATCCACGCCTCAGTTGGCCCTTGAAAAATATTCTTTAATAAATCCACGCCTCAGTTGGCCCTTGAAAAATATTCTTTAATAAATCCA